AGTCTTTCAGGTTTCCCACACAGGCACAGGTTCCCAAGGCTTAGGGTCATCCTCCGCTGCTTCCCCAGGCACATTAGCGGGAAGCTGGACGAGAAGTGAGGCAGCTGGACTCCAACTAGAGCTCATGCAGGATGTCAGCATCCCAATTAGTGACTTAACCTGCTAACCTACAATGCCGGCAACTGTAGCAACTCACAGAGAAATATCTAACACTTTAAACTTCTCCTCTGCATAACTTGGATGAAAAATGAAACTTAAAATGTTACACAATTTGGGCCCAGCGTGGTAGCCTAGCAGCTAAAGTCCTCACCTTGCCTGTGCCCCCTGATCCCATATGGGCACCGGTTCATATCCCTGCCGCCCCACTTCCCATCCAGCTCCCTGCTTGTGGTCTGGGAAAGTAGTCGAGGAAGGCCCAAAGCCTTGGGACCCTGCATGTAATGGGAGACCCAGAAGAGGCTTGAGGTTCCTGGCTTTGGATTGGCCCAGTTCCAGCTGCTGAGGTTGCTTGGGGACTGAATCAACGGATGGACCATCTTCCTCTCTCTTTCCTCCTCTCTGTGCATCTAACTTTCTAATAAAAATAAAATAAATCTTTAAAAAAATATTTAACAATTTAACATCAGAAGTGGGGATAGATCCTGGTCCCCTCCCCACCCCCCACCTTTTTAAAATTTTCTTCAAAGAATAAATTTTACAGAGAACAGGAGAGGTAGAGAGGAAGATCTCCCATCTGCTGATTCACTCCCCAGGTGTGCCCAATAGCCAGAACTGAGCCAACCCAAAGCCAAGAGCCAGGAACAGGAACTTCTTCAGGTCTCTCAATGGGTGCAAGGTCAAGACTTTGGGCCATCTCCTCTGCTTTCCCACGCCACGAGCAAGGAGCTGGATGGGAAGTGGAGCAACCAGGACATGAACTAGTACTCATACAGGATCCCAGTTTTTAACGGGGGGCAAACAGTCAAACGAGTCATTGTGCCAGGCCCCTGACATTCTTAAAAGACTAGGTCAATTTGGAAACAACATAGTGGAATGCAAAAATACATAAAATGTCTTTTACATAAAATAAAAAATAGGAACATGATTTTCAGTTATTACATTTTACTATGTATGTACTGCCAAAGCAAGCACTCAAATACACATTTTATGCTTTATATTGTGCCATTTTTAATTGTATGAGGTTTCTTCAAAAATTTCCCAGAGGGCCTGGTACGATAACTCATGGCCAAATCCTCACCTTGCAAGTGCAGGGATCCCATATGGGCACCAGTTCATTTCCTAGCTGCTCCACTTCCCATCCAGCTCCCTGCTTGTGGCCTGGGAAAGCAGTCGAGGATGGCCCGAAGCCTTGGGACCCTGCACCTGCGTGAGAGACCCAGAGGAGGTTGCTGGCTGCTGGCCAGAGCCAGGATCTGGGAACTCTAACCTGGTATCTAACATAAGTGGTAGCTGGGCCGATTCACTGCCTTCCTGAGTATAGTAGTAAGAAGCTGGATAGAGGTGGAGCAGGGGCCCGAACGGTGCTGCTGGTGGCGAGGCCTTGGTGTGTGCCATCCCATGTGGGCGGTGCTTGAGTTCTGGCTGCTCCACTTTCAGTCTGCCTCCCTGCTGTTATGTCTGAGAAGGCAATCAAGTCCTTGGGCCCCTACATCGACGCGGGAGACAGAGCTTCCGTCTCCTGGCTTAGGACTGGCCGAGATTCAGTAGTTGTTGCCATTTGTGGACTAACCTGCAGATACAAGATCTCTCTCTCTCTCATATTATCTGTGACTCTTTCAAATAAGAATTAATCTAAAAAAGCAAAAACAAAAAAGGGCTAAGCGTGGTAGCCTAGCAGCTAAAGTCCTTGCCTTGCACTCCCAGGATCTCATACGGGTGCCAGTTCCGATCTCACTGGCCCAACTTCCCAACAAGCTCCCTGCTTGTGACCTGGGAAAGCAGTTGAGAACGGCCGAAAATCTTTCGACCCTGCACCCACATGGGAGACTCGGAAGAAGCTCCTCGCTCCTGGCTCCTGATCAGGGCAGCTCTGGCTGTTGTATCTGCTTGGTGAGTGAACCAGAAGATAGATCTTCCGCTGTCTGTCCTCTTTGTACATGACTTTCCAATAAAAAATAAATAAATCATAAAAAAAGAAAGAACAATGGTGGAGCAGCCAAGGCCTGAACTGACACTAAAATCTGAAATGTCCATGTTGCAAGCAGTAATGTCACACACTGTACCTTGCTGGCCCCTATAATTGATCAATTAAGATGAGAATAGTGGGCCACCCCCACCTCTGGCATGACAGGTCAACTGTCGAATCCTCCACTTCCAAGCAATAGGGTCGCATGGGCTCATTGGAGTTCTGGCTGCTCCACTTCCCATGTAGCTCCTTTCCTCTGGCCTGGGAAGCAGCTGACGGCCCAGATCCTTGGGACCCGCACCTGTGTGGAACACCCGGAGGGAGATACTGCTTCCGGACTTCAGACTGACTTAAAAACGGCCTTGTGGCCATTTTTTACATATTCTTGAATGAAGTCCTTGTATTTCTAAAATAGGGCAAAATTTCAAGGGAATAATTTTTAAAATGTTCATTGGTCACAGTCATCTATTTGCATCCAGAGCCTTTTGAATCTTTAGTAGCAGAGAAGGCATTAAGTTCGGAAACAGTACCACACTGCAACCATTTGGTAATCAGCTTCAAAAAGGCTTCCTGGAACACCCGGGACACTGGAGTCTGCAAGCGACGTCATTACACAACTCTGGCACCTTACTCAGCTTCTTCCTTTTTTCCGTAACAATCTCACTACCTACCTGGAGTTACTACAATGCTCAAAACCTGAGCAGTAATTGCAGCAGGGTCTCCCCTCTGCCCAATTATAATCTGAAATCTAGCCTTTGAGAAACATCATCTTTATATAGTTCATTTTTTTTAAAGGTTTATTTACATTTACTGGAAAGGCAGCTCTACAGATAAAAGACAGATCTTCCATCCACTGGTTCACTCCCCACATGCCTGCAATGATGAAGTTAAGCTGATCTGAAGCCAGCAGCCAGGAACTTCCTCTGGGTGTGCCACACGTGGGTGAAGGATCCCAAGGCTTTGGGCCGTCCTCTGCTGCATTCCCAGGCTACAAGCAGGGAACTGGATGGGAAGTAGAACAATCAGAACATGAATTGGCGCTTGGAAATGGAGGATTTGTCCAAGATCAAACAGGGTCAAGGTAGGATTCTGAACACAGTAGACAACAGACTTAGCTCACTGGAAAAACAGCAGCGTTCCTTATCGACAAGAATCACAAGAACCCAGGACTGGCATTATGCCATAGCAAGTTGTCACTTGCAATACTGACATGCCCTAGGACCCTGGGGTCCAAGTCTGGTCACCCTACTTCTGATTCAACTTACTAACGTGACTGGCAAAGCAGCAGCAGCGGATAACCCAAGTGCCAGGGCCCCTGCCCCCACAATGGAGACAAGGACGATTTCCAGGTTTCTGGCTTTGCTTGGCCCATTTGGAAGTGGACTAGTGGATAGAAGATGTCTCTCCCTAACTCTGCCTGATTAAATGAATCTTTTAAAAAAAAAAAGATGGGTCCAGCACAGTGGCATAACGGCTGGAGTCCTCGCCTTGAACACGCCAGGATCCCATGTGGGTGCTGGTTCTAATCCTGGCTGCCCTGCTTCCCATCCAGCTCCCTGCTTGTGGCTTGGGAAAGCAGTCGAGGATGGCCCAAAGCCTTGGGACCCTGCACCCTGGAGGAGGTTCCTGGCTCCTGGATAGGTTGTCCATTATGGTCACTTGGGGAGTGAATCAATGGATGGAAGATTTTCTCCTCTGTCTCTCCTCCTCTCTGTGTATCTGACTTTCCAATAAAACTAAATAAATCTTAAAAAAAAAAAAAAAGGACAGGTATATTATAAAAGAACACCTAAATAACTTGGTACAAAAAAGATAAACTATATAGCATACAATAGATACATAAAGTTAATATATTTAAAAGTTCAACCTTACAAGTACTTGCTTTCAGGATTATATTATCAGGATTATAGAGAATGCCAGTAGATGAGTATTCATACATGTTGATAAGAATTTTTTGGAAAGCAATCTAATAATCATAAATGAACGCTCACTTTGGGAGTAAACACCATGGTGCAGTATGGAAAGCTACCGCCTGTGGCACCACCATCCTGCATGAGCGCTGATTTGTGTCCCGGCTGCTCCACTTTCCACCCAGCTCCCTGCTAGTGGCCTGGGAAAACAGTGGAAGATGGCCTATAAACTTAGGCCCTGGCACCGATGTGAACCCAGAAGCAGCTCCTGACTCCTGGGTTCGGGCTGGTCCAGTTCCAGCTATTGCAGCCATTTGGGGAGTGGACCAGCAGATGGAAGATTTCTGTCTGTTCCTCTCTCTAACTGCCTTTTAAATAAATCTTTAAAGAAAAAAACCCACTTCAGGCTTTCCCACAATAGTGGGAAGAACTTAAACATCAATAGGGAGATGGGTCGGAACAGATGATTGTACAGCTATTTATGGGGTATTACATGAAATCAGGAATAACTGACACAGGAAGATGCTGTGGTACACCGCAAGGGAGAGGGGGCACAGAAGTCACAGAACTGATTCTAAAAGTGCATTTGTTAAAAGAACAAAAGAGGGCATGAAGATAACAATAAATTAGCAAGGAACACAAAAAGAGTGAATGCACATATGGAACAAGACAATTTTTATAGAACATTCTAGGAATGGAAGTGGGATCAGGGCCTAGGAATTGAGCAGGACATCTGTGTTTTACTGGGTACTCTCATGTTAAAATGTGTAATGAGGCAAATCATATTTTTGTAATTCTCAGAACACAAATGCAAAGCAACAAAGAAGTTACTATCTTTTGTTCAGTAGTTTTTTCAAAAAAAAAAAAAGATGGGCAAACAAATGAGGGAGACAGTAGGGAACAACCAAAAAGAATAAAACAATATTAAGAAGATAAATTATTAAGAATAACTACTGACACCTATATTCAAATAAACTGACACAACAGATTTTATTGTTTCCATAGTAGGCTCTAGACAAGGTGAAGACAATGGGGACAATGACAACACATTCCAACTCCTGTCACGAATTAATCTTACAGATTTCCAGTGGTTCAACATATTAAAATGTAAAATATATAAAGAAAAAGACAAGAAATATAAATATTCAGGTTTCTAGAGCATAACACAATGTATTTTTTAAAAAGTTTGTCATAACTGTTTATGTAAGTCGGACAGTAATTCAAAACACTCACAAAAATCATACCTTTCTCCTAACTTCCCTACGATCCGGATATGAGGATTACAGAAATACAAACATAATTTTAGTGCTCAGAAACAAATAATTTTCCCTATTTTAGTGCATTAAGCAGGTGCAAAACATTTCAATTCAAAAAGCCAATCATTGCTATATGCAGATAAATAAAACAAATGACAAGACCTTTATAACAAAATCCAGCCAACATTATACTAAAAATATGTATGTGTGCATGCATCTGTGTGCACACACGAGAGTATTTATATATCCAACACCTGTTCTAGAAAAAAAGGTGAGTTGGTGAAAAGGCCTGAAAATCCTCGCTGACGCACATCATGGACAAATCCTTCTACACTTGAAAGATGAACAGGTGTACCTAGCGGTTGTTCCGTGAAGTCACAGCTCAGGTAGTTCTCTTTCCAAGCCTTCTAGCCGTTCACCATCACTAACGCTAACCAGTCTAGACAAACACTACCCAGATGCAGTCTGACACACCTGGTCATTATCTGGAGCTCTGTTTGCTGCTAGAAGAGGGGAGTGCTTATCACTGCTACAAAGAATATCTTTCTTTCATAAAATATATGGTTTTTCTATCTCACATTAAGCACTTATTGGAGATGTTGAGAGGCAAGAAGCCCCTCCATTTGGTGTGACTACCAACAGCTAGCAAGGTCCTCATTGCACCTGCAGAGAATCCCCTTGGCTTTGCGGCTCTCTGTCCCCAGCACACCAGCCTGGAGGACCAGCTCAGCTATGAAAACTCCCACAGAAGCCACGTGGGGATATAAGGGATAATAAAAGTTGGTAAAGTCTGTTCGACAGGTCTTAGAACATTCCTCATTTAGAGTAGCTGCTGAAGACTGAGATGGAGACAACAAATGGAAGATTTGGGGCAATGAAGCCAAGCTGATCCAATATTTAGTCCAGTAATCACTTCTTGTAGTCTTTAAATGAACAACTGCAACCATCTAGTTCCTCTAAATCGTCACTCTATCAGAACTGAGAATTTGAAGGTTTTAAAAGGTGAAAAATCGAGTACCCCTAAAAACAGAACAGTCTGAGGCAGAAGTTGTGGGTCTGTGAATGTGTGCACACAATTGTGCGTATTGTCCTCTGTATATTTACATAGATATTCACAAGATGCCCTGCAGTGTAGTTCAGAAGGCCTTTGTCAGAGCCCACTGTTTCTAATATAGGCCCTGAAACAATGTGCATGAATATTCACACCATGGAAACCTCAACAACAAACACTGCTATCAGTACTAGGTTAAATAGTAGGTTTTAGGTTAATGGTTTCTTCTATTATCAGTGACATAATTAGAACATTTCTAACACAGAGAATCAAAATAACGAAAACAATGCAACTGGGTTTTAAATCCACAAGATATTCAGTATGGCAAACATGAACAAATGTCAACTTCCAGAGTAGGGAAAAATATCAAAACTTTATAAATCTCTTGGAATGCAGTTTAATCACTGCATCATTAGAAAAATAGACTCATGGAATTAACGGTGCTGCTACGGACTCTCACGCGTCAACCCCCGTGATTATCTTTTCCCTCTCTTGTTTCCAGCTGGAGGCTTCTTCAGCTGCAGGAGCTGTCCTCCTGTTCCAAAGCCCGCAGACGCAGGATTGGACACCCCAAAGGTCAAGCCAGCTGATGCCGTGATGCCCGGATTGCTGAAGTTAAACCCGGAGGCACTTGAGCTGCCAAAGCCTTATGTTTAGGGAAGAAAAGATTATTATCAGAAGTTACATCACAGAAAAAAATACAAAAGACTCGGCTGAGTGGCAAAATTGTATCTCAAAGGTTACATGATCCTTACAAACAGCCAGTATCTCGGATTCCTGAATTTCTAAGATGGAATTTTACAGGAAAATAATCTAGCCAGCAATTGAGTAGCACCTTGAAAGACAGAAGTTTAAGGATGCAGTGAAGAGATAATCAGCACAGATAAATCCACAGGAAATGTCAAGTTGCTAGGGAATTTGCAGTTAAGCAAATATGTTAAGGTGCCTCCCTCCTCAGTCCTATCCAAAAAAGCTTTATCAATCCGCAGAGGACTTTCACAACCCTGGGATCCCAACCCTGCAAGCAAGTCTCCACCTTCCACGCTCTGAAACACACACACACAACACACAGAGCGGCACTGCCTGCTTTGGGCTTCATAAAAGCCCTTGTAACATCAAGTACTACTTAACCATTATAGTATTTAGATTATAATCCTGGTATCATTAAACTCTGTTTTCTTACTCTGCTGGAACTCTTTTTCTTTTAATAGCAATTTACTACATTTATACGCTCTTTAATAATATACTTCTTCATTTTAGATATGCTATTTATTCCTAAGCATTATACACTGAAATGATCAGCTGTTCTTTCCAAGGAGAGCAGATGCAAGCAGAGACAGAATTCTGAATTTTCTACTAGTTGGGTCAAAAGATTCTGCCAATTTAAAAAATAAAGAAGGAACTCAGTCATTACTTGCACTCGAAATGCGAGGAAGTCGCAGCTGAGGATTATCTCTTTGGAACAGAAAAAGTTCTCTTGCATTAACAGTGGTAAAACCTGGGCTAAATGTCCATCATAATGGGCTCATCTTTCCAACAAGAAAACAAAACCAAACCCCTTGGCCCATGAGGTTAATCACTGGTTCATAATTAATCCCCACCGAGTTAAGACAGAAAAACTGTATATGAATAGGTAGGTTTGCATGCTGGATCTTTTTGGCTTATTGGTAGTAACAACACTTTTAAATAACTTGCACCTTTAAATTTGCCTGAAATTCAGGCAGAAACACACAAACCTGCACTAAGACTTCCTGAGGGTTTATTTGTTGTTCCAAATCCAAATGTGGAGGCCCCTGTGGTGCTGCTTCCAAAACCAGAGCTAGTTCCAAATCCTAGTGGAAGGGTGATAGAGAAATATACAATGGTACATAAAACACAGGTTAAAGGAGACTTAGGTCAAAATTTATCTAAGGTACAACAAATACAGTGTTGAACAACACGGGCAAATTAATAAGATCTGCTATTTGTCCCTTGGCGTAAGACTTCTACAAGGACCAGAATAATTCTAAAGTAAAACATAGGTATTTAAACTGATTTATGACCTTGCAGAATATGTTAAAGGGCGTAAAAAAATAAGATCACAATAGTATTGTTTCTCCCAAACATAACAGAGATTTTATTTATCATTCAAGAATGATTTCTGAAAGTTTATAAGCATCTTTACTTAAATATCTCATTTTAACAAAAGACTCACTAAATTCATAAACAAACATGACATATACAACAATGTACAAAATAAACACACAAAAGGTAATTTTATCCTGCTTTTCACTGAATTATCTTTATCACTGGAACAGTGCTTAACCAAATAATGGCCAATCACTTTTAATCTGCTCAGTAACAGTGGTCTGCCCCGCAAACTACCAACATTGCAACCGCAAAATATTGGGGCTGGAAGTGCCTTGTTTTTCCTCTTAGTAGTAACATTTTTACAATTTAAAAAGCAGAAGTATTTTTCAATACATATAGTTCATGCAGATAATCCCCAGTGCCAGATACTGTTGAAATGAAGGTGACCTCATTTTAGAATGCAACAGCTCATCTATAACCCTGAGTTTGTTGACTGACGGCAGATAGCAGCTCATCTATAACCCTGGGTTTGTTGACTGATGGCAAGCTGGATTACAGAACACAGAATTGTGCTGTCTGCCATGAAGCTTATAAGTGTTATTGTCTTGCTGAAGAAAAAATGTGACATTAAATAACCAAAATAAGTAAAACGCTTTGCTTCTGCCATTTCAGTGGAAATAAAAAAGCCCTCTATCCATCACTATGAAGAGCTTGTCAACACCTAGCCAGCTTCCAATGACCCAAAGATCCAGTGGTCCAACCCATGGACCGTGAATGCATTGTACTTAGCATGGCATTCTGCAGAAGACTTACCTTACCACCTGCAATGAACTCTGAAGTTACTAAAACAAGCTTCACTGCTCAGGAGTGTAAGTACGCAGACAGGCAAACACACCAACAATGCTGAGAAACGGACTGAAGTAAAACCCATTTAGAGTGCTGACTTTCACAGAAAAAATATGATTGGAAGAATGTAGATTATCCAGAAACAGTTGCAACTCCAACTAACATTAAGACTACCGCTTTTTAAACTTCTAACTAAACTTGCTGAAGCTAAGGAATTCTCAGGGTTCATATTTCAGTATATTGCTTTGGACAATGAAGAGTCCTACCACTAATTTTTAAAACTTTTTATATGTACTATTCACAGAAGGAATAACTCTTTCAAGCTCTACATCTAACATGAGAAAGCAATGACTAGGTTGGAGAGTCATTTTTTGCCAGATGGGACCTTAACTTTCTAAAATAGCAACAGATCCTCTTAGAAATCTTTTTACAGGCTAGTACCAACTCAAGTGTATTAATATTTAAAGGAAATATTAGAAAAGTTAAAGTGTACCTCCAAGGTTTGAAGAACCTAAGCCACTTGATTGCAAGCCAGTGCCAATACCTGAGCCGAATGGCGTTCCAAAACTAACTCCCAGAGACGGCTGTGGCCCTGGTACAAAAAAAAAAATGGGGGAAAAAAACAAATTTGCCTTACTCTTTCAAGATTAAAGTTTCTTTATGAAATTATTTTAAATGAACAGTGATTGTTTTTAACAAACTCCATTTATTAAAACTGTTTTCAGGATACCTCTTCCAAACTAACTTATCTGTCCCAAATGATGTACCTCATCAGAAAAAAATGTTTTGATTAACTTTTCCAGAACTAGACATTAAGAGAGGCTTACCACAATAAAAGACGAATATTAGTTCAACCTATTAAATAATCTGAAATCTTGTATCATAAGTCTTATTTCTTTTAGATTTACTTCTATACTTATTTTAGATCTCACTTGTTTCCTGAATAAAACTATCTGGCATAGTCACTAAAGTGTTTTACTGAAAAAAAAACCTTTTTTTTTTTTTAAATCTTAGTGTCAGAGTCAAGTCTCAATTGATCAAAAGAGATTGAGACAAACGGGGGAAAACGATCATGTTACTGCAAGAGTTAGTAACCAAAAAGCTACGCATGGATTTTTATGTGAAATATAAATGATATATGCAATAAATAGATAAAAAAACAAGACAATGTTTTATTTTATTAAATTTATTGTTCATTTTAAAGCAAACCAATGACACGATAACATGACAATTCCAACTTGTTCACACAAAGTGGTAACCGAGTCCCCTCTCAGGCTGTGCTACACGACACCACTTGCCACCTGATTCAGTAAGAGCATGGACATTTACAAAGGCACCACTGTGGACCTCGGCAGATCGAATACATTCAAGACTCCAACTCAGGAAGTTCTTTCCAACACTTTGGAAAATGTACTCAGATGCAAAGTGATTAGTCATCCTTTTCCCATTTGTTACTTTACAAGATTGTGGCTGAGTTTGTCTGGCAAGAACAGCATCAAACTTACTGGCCTCTCTACCGACTACTCTTTTTTTTTTTTTTTAAACTAAGTAGAATACAAAATTTAAAAATCTCTCATTTGATAAATAATTTATGAAAATTAATAAATTTCATAGTACAATCTTCAGTCTTATCTTTTTCAAGCACAGTGATCAGTGCATCTCAAAATTGAGGGAAAAAATATACGTATTAAATTTAAAATTGGCAAAGAAATCAAAGCCTTCAAGTTATCCAAAGAAGAATGAGGTTTGTATATTCAAATGGTAGTGTAAAATTATACTAAAGCACTAAAAAAAAACTGAGAAACTACATTTTGCTATACTGGGACAGAAAGCTTTTCAAATAGCGTCCATCCAGAAAATAAAGGAAGTAACTAATAGCAGCCAGAGTTCTTACACTACTATAAAAACAAACAAAACCAAAAAAAGGATTTTAAGTTTTTACATCCAGTTTGAGATCAATTCCAGAGTAAAACATCTGCCTAGCAGCTCTTTTGTAAAATGTTACCATAGGAAAAAGAAACTAAGCATAATACTTTGTTCTAACAAAAATAATATATAAAAAACACACATTGTTTCTTCAACATTGAGAGACTTAAGTGTCACGTGTTCCCAGGAGGCACTGCTGGTGGGAGACCCCGAAGGACAGTGCACAGCACGGCCCCTCGGCCTTTCAAACCCTCGGTGTTCACTCCAAAAGATGCTCTGTGCTGGGTGTGGGTCTGCTTTAAAGAGTAACACAGCATCTCTGATCACCGACCGTCAGGATCTAGGTAACCAACAACTCATTACTTAATGATGACAAGACTTCCCACTGCACAACAGACACATGGTATTATGAGTTTTGTACCTTCACACAAATTCTGAAGGCATTCTCACTTATAAAACTAATAGGCAAATGTATAACATTTTTAAATAGTAGAAACTCATGATAAATATCTCCCATGCCAAAGTGTTACCATATATTACACTCTGGCTACCATATATATTAGTTTCATGGTAAGAAAGCAAAATCTAAACCCTTCAAGCCAAAGTTTTGTGAACAATTCAAGGAGTCTGCTATGCAATCTTTATGAATGGTCATTCAATGAGAGGTTTAGTTCCATAAATAAAAACAAGTTAGCAGTAATATATATCAATGATTGCCAAAGAGAAATCTTTAGAGAGTAATGTTTTACAAAAGTTACCATATGATATGTTCACATACAACAAAATCGAGTTTAGCACTGTAATTGATATTTTCCAGAATAAATTCTACTTTCTTAAAAATAAAACTGTATTCACAGGAAAAGGACTAAAGTGCTAACTTTAAAAAACTAATTTTCCAGGATCACACAAAATGCCCAATATAATTAGTAAAATGGTTAACTTCTAAGTTATATTTTAAAGCAAAAATTCAAAAACAAAACAAAAAATGCCTTTTCCCCAAATTGAAAAATTTTACTCACATTGGTCTAATGGGGAATGTTCCTTTGGTTATTAAATACCAAAATCACAGAAACACAAGAAACTAAGAAATATTTAAGGTTTCCCATCTAACACCCCACCTTAATTGTCCAAACCTACATTAAAAGCTACAAAATAGAATTCCTAACACATGTCTAGGCTCTCCTTAAAAATGGCTATTAAGCCACAAGAGAAAAATCTTACTATGTAAACATCAACAACTTTTAAGTGTCAAAACACAACAGCAAAACACTGGTCAAAAAAAAAAAAAAAACCCAAAACAAAAAACTATCTTAAATTCAAATCACACTCAAATGCCTAATATAAGTGCCTTGCATTTTTTAGAAGTGTGGAAGCACTGATGGACAAGTGTATTCAAGCTCTGTCTGTACATAACTCATCCACGTATGATGTTAATTTCATACATAAAGGACTGCTGGACTATTCCTTCACCTCCAAGAAAGACAATTACAGAAGCCAACCTCCGAAGCCAGCAGCCTTAGAAGCTATCTGGTCTGTGCCCATGCGTACATAAACAAGTCAGCAATCCATACACACATGAAAATAAAATCCCTTGGGTTACTGAAATCTGTAAAACCTGTGAAATATACAAAGATCTAGCTTCTCATAGATGGTCTTAATACTTGTTATTAGCACTTTAAGAAGGTTTCATATTACGCGGCATAAGGGATAACTCACTGAGTGCAAAACAACGCAATAAATATAGTTTTAGCCTGTTTGCCTACCAGGAACTTGCAAAATCATTATGTATGTATCTAACAGAATAACCAAAATAATTAAGAAATGAACTACAGAGCATAGATCTTTTAAGAAACAAAGTGGAAAAGACAATGCAGAATTACTAGCATTATTGGTTAACTTCTCAGTTCTACAAATTCATACCACTCTATATGAAAACGTTGAAAGATCGCTTAGGCTGGTGAGTTACAACCTGCCACTTCATCACAAAGCCCTTGTGTGGACTTCAAAATTGCAAAGAACATTAACAGCAAAATTTCCCCCAGCAAAAATGAAGACAAAGTGTATGAGCAAAAGGCTCCTGGGGCGACCAACTCCAAAGCTGATGTCCTCCACAGTTACAGAGGTGAAGACCTAGTCTGTTCTTGTATTCCCCCAAGCCTAGCACATAGTAGGAACTCTTACTTACAGAATGAACATACACTATCATATGTTCATGATGCTAAAATATGAGAAAAAGTCTACAACTTCTCAAGACTGTTTACGTAAGTTAAAAGGGAGAAGGAAAAACCCTGACAGGTAGTTTTGCTTCAAGTTTACCTATTATATTCACTTACAGTGTAACAGTTTAGGTAACTGATTTTTTTTTTCCAAGTTTTTTTTTTTCAAGTTTTACTTATTACAGTGGAAGTCAACTATATTTCTTTAAAGAACACTTAACCACACCCACATTTATCTGAGCTATTCTTTTACAATTAATAATACTGGCTCTAAAAGGTAAACTGGGATGATGGCTGGCTTGATTAACTAGATAATCACGAGAATAAATGCTTGTTTATGGGACTGGCTCTTCAAAGGAATCAAACTCAAAATTTTCCCCTCCATCACTTGAGAATGCAGCCCTACCCTCCAGCCAGCTCCAGGGCTGTCAGACTGAGCTCAGAGAAGCCACTGGGTACCGGGGCTCAGCCAAGGAATGTGGATGGTCTGGCAGAAATCCATCAATTCTGGCCATTCTGTAATCTCCAAATGTGAAAAATAATTTTTAAACTGCCATAGTGAAATTACTTCCCAAATAAAAGCAGCATAATTCAGTCTAAATACATATTTTACCTTTTTTGGTATTATAATTTACTACTAAACTTTATGGAACTCTCAGAAAGCCACATGTTAAAAAATAACCAAGAAGCATCGCTCAAAAATTTATGAATGATTAAATAAACAAAAACTACATCCATTAAGGCTATATCCATTAAGCCGAATTAAACCAGTAAGTATAAAGATCTGGTTTCCAGTATTTAATCACTTTCCACTTCCATGTTGAAATACCTTGTTTCTGCTCTTGCTCCTGATCTGTTTTGAGAAGTACAAACAATTTCAAACTACTAAGAGGGTCTGCATTCTGTTTTTGGTCAACATACAAACAAATCCACTGATCTTCAACGTGTCTTAGTCCATAAACACCTACTTCATCCTCAAAGTGGGAACTTTGTAATTTTTATAAGTGAAGAAAATAAGAACGCACCACCTATCAGTATCATATGTGAAAAACGCAATGTTTAGATGGACGATCTTCGATTTTAAAACAGTTAAGTGTTACAATCATGGTTTCAGAATGTTACTCTTAAATGTAATTCAGTAGTAAAACACCAGGTTCTAAAGGGCATTTATAGCAACACAGCAAGTTAACAGTAAATTCACAATATTCAATATCTAACTGATGTATAATTATTGCTAAACTACCCTGCTTTTGTTAAATCAGGTATATTTATAATTGTGTCCATCACAATCTCTAGAGTGTATTGGAATCGCTGTTCATAGAAATTTCTTCTGTACTCACACAAAAGGAAGACTTACGAAAATGCACATAAGTGTTTGCATTTGAACAGTAAGAAGCTATTATAACTTGAATGCATTCAGACCTGGAGCAGGCTGCTGCTGCTGTGTGAGTGTTGCAGCCATGGCAACGGCTGCTGCATTTGGCATGGTGCTGAAAGGTGTGGGCCCAGTGGTAACTCGGGGTGCATTCTGCCATTTCTTGGCTTCTGCTCGCCTGGCTTCAAACACATCGGCAGCATCTCCCAAGAACATCTTCCTGTAGCCGAGGTATTGTTCTTTGAGCACCTGGAGGAAAGCAGAAAGAACTCAAAAAGAAAGAAACCACTAAGCAAGCTCTATGTTGAATCTTGTAACCAAAGACGTTGTCAATACGACAGCTCATAGTTCCACAAGAAAAATCAGCGGCTTCACAAAGAGGTCTGCTTGATCCAATGCAGCATCTGCCTTGACTATTACATTTCCCAGAATTCTTACACATTTGGCCTAAGTTAGACAGGCTTTATGAAACTTTTTAAGAAACTCAGGGGGGCTTGCCCCAAACTGAATGCTGAGTAAACTGTGCAGTCAGAAACAGGGAAACAGGGTGTATGACGTAAGAAGGGCAGACCTACAGGAGACTGCTCTCTCAAATCCACCCTTCCTTCTCTCTCAAATCCACCCTTCTTTCAACAGTGCTTGGCATTGGTGGCCCATCGCATATATGTGCATTTTAATAATCGACATACTGGGAAATAAAAAAACTACAGACTTCAAAAAGACAAAACATTAAAGACTTGATATCAACCATGATTTATATAGATAGTTCCCAAAATCAATACATTTGTTCATGTCTCTGCGGTTTGGCTAGTTATAGTAGTTTAAGCCTGTTTCAACAGATTATCAAGTAAAAAATGTAACAGCAATTGTTTCCTGCAAGATTTCTTTGAAAATTAAATAAGCCTAAAACTAAACCAAAAAAAGTTGTCAAAAAAGGGCAACTTATCAAATCTGATCAAGAAACATATTTAATTATTGGGGAGATATTTTAAAAATTAGGTCATAATTCCATTGAATAAACGTGCTACACTTCCAACTGATTTACAGGAGGAGGAGCAAGGCATCTCCATATTATAAAGAACAGAGAGGGGAAATGGGCACTCGATGCAACAGTGCTCCTTTTTGTGTACAAAAATCGTGACTTCAAAATGTCAACACAGAATCCTCTCCAGCAACTGGAACATGTAAGTAACATTACAGACTAAAGTTTCCAAAAAATGTAACAATTCCTCCTTTAAACTGATTAAGCAATCTGAGTGAAGGAAAAGTCCAATGTAATCATTTCAAGAATGCATGGGCCTGGCACAATGGCTCAATTAGCTAATCTCCCCTTCAAGCACCAGGATCCCACAAGGGCGCTGGTTGGTGTCCCAGAGCCTCAGGACCCTGCACCTGCGTGGGAGACTCCCCGCTCCTGCTTTCAGATTGGCTCAGGTCCCACCACTGCGGGGAATAGAAAATCTTTTTCTCTCTCTCTAAATCTTAAAAACAAAACAAAACAAAACAAAACAAAACAAAACAAAACAAAACCAACCTTAAAAAATTAAAAACTTAATTCAATTAAAAAGTTATTAGAAAATTAAAAATAAAACCAATGATAATCTCAACTCTATTTAGACTTTGGCATGGCTGCTATGAACTTTATTATTATTATTATTAAAGATTTATTTATTTTACTTTAAAAAGTTACAGAGAAAGAGAGAGAGATAGAAAGAGATTTTCCATTCTTAGATACATTCCCAAATGGCAGCAAGAGCCAGAGCTATGGTCTAAAGTCAGGAGCCAGGAGCTTCTTCGGGGGTTTCCTGCATGGGAAGAGGGGCCAGGGCCTTGGGCCACTCTCCACTGGCTTCCCGGACCATCAACAGGGAACTATATTATTAGGGAAGCAGCAAGGACTCTCCAACTGGCCCCACAGTGGAGGGTTAGCCTGATAGGCCACCCTTTTAAGAAAGAATTCCGGGGCCCGGCGCGGTGGCGCAAGTGGTTAAGGTCCTGGCCTTAAACGCCTGGGATCCCATATGGGCACAGGTTCTATCCCAGCAGCCCCACTTCCCTTCCAGCTCCCTGCCTGTGGCCCGGGAAAGCAGTCGAGGACGGCCCAAAGCTTTGGGACCCTGCACCCGTGTGGGAGACCCAGAAGAGGCTCCTGGCTTCGGATCGGCATAGCATCAGCCGTTGCGCTCACTTGGGGAGTGAATCATCGGACGGAAGATCTTCCTCTCTGCCTCTCCTCTCTGTATATCCGCCTTTCCAATAAAAAAAATGATAAAAATAAATCTTTAAAAAAAAAAAAAAGAAAGAATTCCGGGCCCAGCACCATGGCCCAGCACCATGGCTCAGTGGCTAAGTCCTTGCGTTCCATGCACTGGGATCCCATGTGAGTGCCAGTTTGTGTCCCGGCAGCTGCACTTCCCATCCAGCTCCCTGCTTGTGACCTGGGAAAGTAGGAGAGGACAGCTCAAAGCTTTGGGAGACCTCAGGACAGGCCTAGAAGAGGTTCTTGGCTCTGGGCTCCAGATTCAAGTTCAGCTCTGGCTGCTGCAGCCACTTGTGGAGTGAACCAGTATACAAAAATCTTTCCCTCTATGCCTCTTTCTGAAAATCTGCCCTTTCAATAAAAATAAATCTTAAAAAAAAAAGAAAAAAAAAAGGAAAGAATTTTACCACTTAATTATTTTGTTCACATTATTTAATAAATACAGTCAACTCTATTTAGAAGGAAGGTTACAAGGAAACTGCTTTTCCTTAAATGCTGTGGCCAATAAATATTTAAAATATATGTAAAACAAGGGATTTATAAAATTACTTTGCTATTAAGTAGCAGTTTAATCTTTCCCTTGTATGTAACACAAGCTATTTTTGTAATAAGCATGGACATATTTGTCTCCAGCAAACACTTGACACGAGACATCCAGGTATTTACTGGCAATGAAAACTCACCTTAACATTTTCATGGATAGACTGAAGTTGTGCAGCCAAAGCTACAAATGTCTGATAAATTTTCAGCATTGCCATTGACAAATCTATAAAAGAAAATCACATTACCATACAGAAATACAACACAGCAAATCTTCTTTTCATATTATTTGAGTCTAAGTTTTCACATGGCTTAACAACTGCAGCGGTGTTTCCAGGGCCACAGCAGGTGGTGGGTGGGCTGTGAGGACTGGGCACTGGGCATCTACTCAAGCAGCTGGCAAACAGAGAGGAAGGCCAGAATTCTGTTCCTGTCACCTCAGCAACAACACATAAGAAAACATCTCATGTTTGCAGAAAATAAAGATGTAAATGAGGATTTTATGGGAAATTTTCTAAAAATAACAAGTTGGCTAAAAGACGATACTAGTAATCTAAAATACCTACTGCACAGACATTTTAATCTCTCTCTCGTGACAAAAAAATAACAGACCTATCAAAAATTGCCATGGTAAGAATGTTACCTTGTGGGGTTATGTGTGAATTGTTTGCCTGAGTGGCAAGATGGTTTTCTAATTCTTCAATCTGCTGCCTGTACTGCTGAAGCTGCACCTCAAACTGTTGAACCAAGACTCTGAAGTAGCTATAAAAAAAGTTAAAAGTTAAATCAAATTTTAAAAAACATTTTCCCATATTCAAAATACTAAAAATTTATCTCTACTTGCAAGATTTTTCAATTGAGATATTGTCACTGATAGCAAAGACCCCGAAATAAATTATCAACGTACAGTTAATTCAACCATAATAGACAAATCTAAAATACGGGATTAAATAATCTGTGAAATATATATTAACAGCCTTCCAAAATCTGACATTTATCTGAAGCAAGGAAAATGGAATAATCACTACAGATGGGAAGATTAAGGAGAGAAATAAATGTGTATGAATCCCACACAGGATCCTGCAACAGAGAAAGCACGTGAGCAGTGAGGACAATTGAGGTGATCACAGCACAGTGACATAGCTTCCTGTTACTCATGACTACACTACAGTTAAACAATATGCTAACGTTAACAGACACAGGGTGGAAGATAGAAGGAAATTCTTTGTTCTATTATTTTTGCAAGTTGTCTGTAGCTGTAAAATTTAAAGTTTAAAAAATTGCAACTTGCAACCAGATTCTATAAACAAGTACTCAGTGGCCTGGCACCATAGCCTAATGACTAAAATCCTCGCCTTGCACGCACTGGGATCTCATGGGCGCTGGTTCTAATCCCGGCTACTCCACTTCCTATCCGGCTCCCTGCTTGTGGCCTGGGAAAGCAGTTGAGGATGGCTCCTGTGGGAGACGGGGAAGAAATTCCTGGACCTTTCTCTCTGTATATTTGCGTTTCCAATAAAAATAAATAAATCTTTAAAAACAAACAAAGAACAAGTACTCAGAGCTCTAACAATAACAAAATGTATAATCCTGAGCATACCAGGAGTAGTGCCTGAGTACTACAGAAAGCAAGCAATTCCTACTACCACTGTGACACGTGAGCCACAAGAGTGCTGCAGACACCAAGGAGCCTGGTAACCCGTGTAAAGGGGCCTGTTTCTAACACATTGGCAACTGTGAAGGCTTCCTGTGAAACAAGCTGTGGCGGCAGCGTGAGGAACAAGACGGGGTGCAAAATACCAGAGAAGTCTGGTAAGGAAGCAATGACCTTCAATCTCCTAATTTCCTGATTTTAATACTAATATCACACTTTTGCAAAAGAATATTCTTATTTTTTAAGTCCACACAATTAAGTATTGATGCATAACAAGTATCCCATTTGCAAATGTACACACACAGATCATAACATCCATAGTAAAAACATTAACTGGGGGGAAATTAGGATGAAAAATGTGAGAATTCTTCTGTTCTAGAACTGAAAATCCCCTTAAAGAGTAGAACGAGATGCTGGAAGACTTGTAGGAAACAAAGTGAGGGAGCAAGAGTCCCCCGGCTGCAGCACACGTGAAGGGCAACGGCTCCATCCTCACCTCTGCGAGCCTCAGACACGCCTCGCTAACCGCCCACAGCACTTCCTGAGGTTTTATGGAAAATGGAGCAGGATGCAGTGAGGTGGCAGAGCCCTGGCACGTGAAGCTAAGCCTCCCCCTGTAGCGCTGGCATCTCACATGGGTGTCAGAAAGCGAGCTGGCTATTCCATTTCCAATCCAGCTCCCTGCTATTGGCCTGGGAAAGCAGTAGAGGATGGTTTAAGTGCTTGAGTCTCTGCTCCAATGTGGCGAAGCTGGAAAAAGCTCCTGGCTCCGAGCCTCAGCTCTAATGATTACTGCCGGGGGGTTGGGAGGGGACAGTGAACCAGCAGATGGAGGATCTCTCTCCTCTTCTCTCTCTGCAACTCTGCCTTTCAAAGAAATACTAAAACAATCTTTAAAAAAAAATGGGTGAGGGCATAAACAGCAGTGAGCACATTATGTTGAAAATAGTAAGAACCTGGTAAATACTAGCTATTTTTATCTTAATTTACCATGAAAATATTTTGAGCTAGGATTCATATCACATTATGGAAAATAACGCGCTGAGTGATGAAACAATAACAGGTGGCTTTTTCCTTTGTCTCTACATTTCTCACTTTTCTTCCTGAAAAAAATACCTATATAAATAACTTAAAGCTGTGCAAGCTGTTTTAGTATCTCAACTGTTTAAAAGATAAGACTATCAAAATTATTTTTAAAAAGTCCTAATTAGTAAAAATTAAGTTTTTCACTATCCACAAAATGTATTGTAGCAGGGCCTAGCTCTGTGGCATTTCAAATAAGGCCACTATCCACGCTGCCAGCATCCCGTGGGGACAGTGGTCAGAGTCCTGGCTGTCCACACTGCCAGCATCCTGTGGGGACAGTGGTCAGAGTCCTGGCTGTCCACACTGCCAGCATCCCGTGGGGACAGTGGTCAGAGTCCTGGTGATCCACTTCCGATCCAGCTTCCTGACGGTGCACCTGTCAGGGAAACCAAGAACGGCCAAAGCTTGGGGTGCTGTGTGCACGTGGCAGACTCAGGAGGAAACTCCTGGCTGCTGGCTCTGACTGGTCCGACTCCGTTTGGGGAGTGAACCAGCAGGTGAAAGATCTCTGTCTATCCCCCTCTGACACTGCCTTTCAATTGGATGAAGAAAAAAATTTTTTTTCTACATGTATTAAAGCACATTTACAGGAAGAATAACTGAAAATAGTGGTACTACCCACCTTAAGATTACTATGAGACCCTTATTTTTAAATCTCTATGTAAAGTGCTTATTAACTCAACCCTCTCATAAGCTAAACCAAACATTTCACAGGAAAAAAATTTCTTATTTTGCACATTATTATTCTACCTTTTTTCTTTTTTTTTTTAATTTATTTTTTTATTATTTTTTTTAATTGGAAAGGCGGATATACAGAGAGGAGGAGAGACAGAGAGGAAGATCTTCCGTCCGATGATTCGCTCCCCAAGTGAGCTCAACAGCTGATGCTATGCCGATCCGAAGCCAGGAGCCTCTTCCAGGTCCCCCACGCGGGTGCAGGGTCCCAAAGCTTTGGGCCGTCCTCGACTGCTTTCCCAGGCCACAGGCAGGGAGCTGGAAGGGAAGCGGGGCTGCCGGGATAGAACTGGTGCCCATATGGGATCCTGGGCGTGCAAGGGGAGGACCTTTAACCACTTGCACCACCGCGCCGGGCCCCCTTTTTTTCTTTTTTAAGACTTATTTTATTTTTATTGGAAAGACAGAATTACAGAGAGGGAGGCCTTCTATCTGCTGGTTCACTCCCCAGAGTTTAGCTGATCCAAAGCCAGGAACCAGGAGCTTCCTCTGGGTCTCCCACATGGGGGCAAGGGGTCTATGAACTTGAACCATCCTCCACTGCTTCCCCAGGACACAAATAAGCGTCACAGGTGCAGGCTTGACCTGCTACGCCACAGCACGGGCTCCAAAGCAAGCAAAGTAAGTTGAAGAAACACTGGCGACTTACTCAGCAGGAGCAGTATTTTCATGTTGAAGTCCAGGTGGTGTTTTCTGGGTTCTTAAAGCTATTTCAGCATTCTTTAACTCCTAAGGGAGGAAAACAAGTCAAATAAAAGCTAGGCCAAAAAGTATCAAGTGTCACTTGAGCTGGAACTTCAAACAGTGACCCTGTTGGAGAGCTACGCTGGAAAATCAGATCACAGATGAAGTGCTTCTCTACAAGTTGTTAAAATTTCTTTCAGAAAAGATGAAAAAAAAAAAAAAAAAGAACTTTGTGATAAAAACTCTAACACTACGCTGATGTATTTTAAGAACTGTGGATTTCTGCAGTATTCCTGATGAAGGAGCCAGAGTGATCTTACCCAGAGTCAGACTACATTACTACTAACAGACCTTCAACACGCAATGCAGAAGACACCATTTTACAAAAGGGTAAGTACAACACGAAGCTGACATTGATATCAGCAGCAGCTGCGTGCGTCCCCAGTGCCGTTAGGGTCGCCTCACTCGGGGAGACAGCGCAGTCTTGAACCCAGCCAAAATCTGCAGACAGGCCTGCTGTTACTTTTTGTCTTTCATAAAGTTTTGGTCCCGAAGAAAATAAAAACTACCTCTTTTTTTCTTAACAGATCTCACTGATGTAATATAATCACGTTTTTAAAACACTAACACAGTCTTGGGATGTTTAATCAGTAAATATTCATGGCGTGTAAAAAAGCATGAACAATACATTCCATTAGGTGTCAGCTACGGGACTGGCATGAAGGTTCAATGGCTAAATCCTCACCTTGCACGCACTGGGATCCCATGTGGGCACTGGTTCATGTGTCTGGGCTGCTCCTCTGACTTCCCATCTACCTCCCTGCTGATGGCTTGGGAAAGCAGCAGAGGATGGCCCAAAGCCTGCATGGGAGACCTGGAAGAAGCTCCTGGGTTCCCGGCTTCAGCTCTGGTCATAGCGGCCATTTGGGAAGTGAACTAGAAGATGGAGGATTTTTCTCTCTCTCCTTCTCTTCACAAATCTGATATGCCTTTCCAATAAAAATAAATGTAAGAAATAGAAAGAAGGATCTCAGTTGCATAAAAGTAGACGCCATATGTGATGCACAGGACTCAGGGTATGCAGAACCAAACTGCCACTGACCACGATGGCTCTGGTCCTTGCTTCTACTGATTTATTTATTTTTTTATTATTGGAAAGGCAAATTTAAAGTGGAGAGACAGGAATATTTTCCATCCACTAGTTCACTCCCCAAATGGCTGTAATAGCCAGAGCTATCCAAAGCCAGGAACCAGGGGTTTCTTTCAGGTATACCACATGGGTGCAGGGTCCCACGGTTTTTGAGCCATCTTCCCTGCTTTCCCAGGGAGCTGGATCAGAAGTGGAGCAGTTAGGAAATGAATCAGTGTCCACATGGGATGTCAGCGCTTGCAAGAGGGTAAGCTGATTGAGCTACTGTGCCAGTCCCAAGCATATATATATATGCATATATATACATGTTTTTAAAAATTTTTTTAATTTTTTAAATTAAAATAAAAAAGGATGAGGTTGGTGTGCTGGCACACAGCACACTAATCCTCTGCCCATGGCAACCACATCCCACATAGGCACTGGTTCATGTCCTGGCTTATTCCACTTCCCATCCTGTTTCCTGCTTGTGGCCTGGGAAAGCAGGAGGTACTGCCACAAGTCCTTAGGGTCCTACACCCACGTGGGAGCCCAGAATAAAGCCCCTGGCTCCTGCCTTCAGATCAGCTCTAGCTGTTGCCACCAACTGGGGAGAAAACCAGCGAATGGAAAATCTTTTCTATGTCTCTCCTTTTTGTAAATCAGCCTTTCCAATAAAAATCAATAAACCTTCAGGGCGGAAAAAAGATTATGTGAACGAATATTTTGTGAAGTTTAAAAAAAAAGCAGGCCTTGCACAGTAGCCCAGTGGCTAAAATCCTCACTTTGCAGGCACAGGGATCCCACATGGGCACAAGCTTGTGTCCTGGCTGCTCCTCTTCCCATCCAGCTCCCTGCCAGGGGCCTGCAAAAGCGCTTGAGGACGGCCCTTAGCCTTGGACCCTGTACCCACGTGGCAGACCCAGAAGAAGCTCCTGGCTTCGGGTCAGTTCAGCTCTGGATATTGCAGCCACTTGTGAAGTGAATCAGCAGATGGAAGATCTTTCTCTCTGTCTCTCCTTCTCTATGTAAGCCTGACTTTCCAACAAAAATCAATAAATCTCACAAACAAAAAAGTAGTTAGTATGTTTCTTAATTCCCTGTAGCAATCTTCCCCTCATTAAATTACCAATCGATTATGTTTGCAACTGTTCATTTCCTTCGCACTTCTCAATTCAGGCCTCCAACCCACCTGTCTCTATCACAAATGCCTGAGAGGCATCTTGGGACATTCAACATTCTCATGCCATACTACCTCTCCAAGCACTGACTCCCGCCCTAATACTGAACTGCTTGTGGATCCTCCAGGCCTCTGCTCGGGCATCCTGCCAGGGACCAACTACCATGCTTCAAGACTTCACCTGAAGGTATCCTACTCTGAACAGATAATGACCATGTGCACTTGAGCACTTGGTGCCCTGCAATGCCCTGCATCTACAACACTCTTACATTACCAGATAAATTTTATTTTTAATTTCTCCCACAGTCTAAGTCTTTGGTTCCTAATATCTGTTAAGTGACTAGGACACAACAGACCTTTAAATATGCACTAATAATTCAAGCGCTGAACTCGGCAATATTGCTTGAGTAAACCATTCAGCATCCACCCTGTCTCAAAACAAAATCTTACCATCCTACTTAAACTTGAGTTATTCAGCAAAAACAGATATTGAAAAGACTTTTCTTCCATAAGCTTCTCATCCACTGTAATTGTTACAACAGAAATGTGTAACATAAACTGTCTTTAAAGAAAAGGGATTGCGACTAAAGAAGACTAGTAACTGACAACTAATTCACCAGGAATCCAGAACACAGGTCTCTGGGTAGATTTCTAGATCGCGAACACTCAAAAATCATCTTGCACCAAATTTCTCCGTATCTAATGAGAGAAAGCAGTTAAGGACATAAGCTCCGAGCTAGATTACCTGGGTCTCAATCTAGGCTCTTCAGCTTATGGACACAGCCTTTTTTTCTTAGCTACATAATGAAGACAACACATACCTCATGGGGGCTATAATGAGGTAGATATTGCTTAGAAGCACTGGCCTTCTTAGACTGTATCTACATCAAAGTCTAGGATGAAACAAACTTCCACTTCCACTTTGTGAAAACAAGCCTCCCACGGTAACCGGCTGTAGGTTAGCACACCTGAGCAGTCTCCACCTTCAATTTGTCAATATTGAGAGTGTTTCTCTGCAACCCGCTGGCAGCCAACGACAGAAGCTGCTTCAGGGCTTTAATATCTTCTTGCACTTTAAGCATTGCCTTTGAGGACATCCTACTAATTTCTTCTTGAACTTGCTTTTGTTCCTTGACAAATTTCCTTAAAAAAAAAAAGGAGAAATTACAAATATGTATCGTTAGGTTTCCAAAAGGGGACAAAAAAAAAAAAAGATGTTTAAAATACACTGGTCAGTGCTGGCACTGTGATGTTGTGAGTCAAGCAGCCATCTGCAGAGCCATCCTATATGGTCACTGGCTGGACCTGGCTCCCTGCTAACACACCTGGCATAGCAACAGAAGACGACCCAAACGTTTGGGTCCTTGCACCCACGGGGGTATCCCGAACAAACTCCTGGCTTTGGAATGATCCAACTCTGCAGTTGCAGCCATCTGGGGAGTGAATCAGCAAATGGAAGATCTTTCTCACTTTCTCTCTGTAATTCTGCCTTTTAAATAATCCAATACATCATTAAAAAAAAAGATTTATTTATTTTTATTGGAAAGACAGAGAGGAGGAAATAAAGAGGAAGATTTTCCATCCGACGATTCATTCCCCAAGTGACTGCAATGGCCAGCACTGTGCCGATCTGAAGCCAGGAGCCAGGAGCTTCTTCTGGGTCTCCCACTTGGGTAGAGGGCCCCAAGGCTTTAGGCTGTCCTTGACTGCTTTCCCAGACCACAAGCTGGATGGGAAGTGGAGCCGCAGGGATTAGAACTAGAGCCCATATGGGATCCCAATGCGTTCAAGGCGAGGACTTTAGCCGCTAGGCCACCGCGCTGGGCCACTAATACATATTTAAAAGAAAAAAGGCTGGGCCCAGTTATGATGGCTTAGTGGTTAAATCCTCGCCTTGCAAGTACCAGATCACATGTGAGCATCAGTTTGTGTCCCAGCTGCTTGTGGCCTGGGAAAGCAGCAGAACATAGATCAAAGCCTTGGACCCTCTAGCTCTGTGGGAGCCCTGAAGAGGCTGCTGGCTTCTGGCTTTGGCTCAGCTCCATCCATTGCAGCTACGTGAGGAGTGAATCAGTGGATGGAAGATCGCCCTGTCTCTCCTCTTTGTAACTGCCTTTCCAATTAAAAAAAAAAAAAAAAAATAAGCCAATCTTAAAAACAAAACAAAACAGGACCTGGCACAGTGGCCTAGCAACTAATGTCCTCGCCTTGAAAGCGTCAGGATCCCATATGGGCGCCAGTTTTAATCCCGGCAGCTCCACTTCCCATCCAGCTCCCTGCTTGTGGCCTGGGAAAGCAGTTGAGGACAGCCCAAAGCCTTGGGACCCTGCACCCGCTTGGGAGACCTGGAGGAGGTTCCTGGCTCCTGGCTTCGGATAGGTGCAGCACCGGATGTTGCAGTCACTTGGGAAGATCTTCCTCTCTGTCTCTCCTCCTCTCTATATATCTGACTTTGCAATAAAAATAAATCATCTTAAAATACATATATATAAACAAATTTAAAAAAACAAGAATTCCAAAGTCAGAGTTCAAATATTTAAGTAGTAAAAACCAAAAATTCCTTTATAGTTCCTGCTACTTTTCTTTTTTTTTTTGAGTGAGCAGTTTTTAAAAGACCCAATTTCCACTATATTTTATAAAGGCAGTTATAAATTTTAATTCTTCATGTTTTGCTTTAATTCTGATATTTAAAAGCATTAAATTTGTCTTTACAATTTATTTATTTATTTGAAAGACAGAATTAAAGGGAGAGACAGAGAGAGAGTGTGTGTTCTTCTATCCGCCCGATCACACTTCCCAGACGGCTGCAACGACCAGGTTTGGCCGAGCCAAAGCCAAAAGAATTCCACTCTGGTCTCCCACCCAGGCAGCAGAGGTCCAAGTATCAGGCCATCCTCAGCTGCTTTCCCAGGCACATCGGCAGGCAGCTGACCAGAGGTGGAGCAGCGGGGACTGAACCTCGGCTCACATGGGAAGCAATGACAACAGAAGTAACCCGCCACAGCACATCGCCAGGCCCAGCAGTGAATTAACTCGGAACAGCACTTTAACAACATCAGCACTTACTGCAGGTTTTCAACATCCTGGCAGATGACAGGAGGCAGATTCTCATCCTTCAAGGCTTTGCTGTCCCTACGAAAAATCCCATAAACACGTTAAAACCATTGGGGTTTTTAACAGCTGACATTTGCTAAAGAATGTGATATAAGAGAACAGCAAATATTCCACCCTTATAGCTCACTTCAAAATCCTGTATTGCGAACAAAAAATTTATTCACCTATAACATGATTTCAGTAATTCATTTGACATGAAGTTTCCTGTCTAGGAAGAATGGCAAATATCATAAATGTATTTTAAAGCATTCATCTAAATGTCTAAGAAAGGAAATCCAAAATTCCTAGACTGGGAAAAAACATTGGAACAAGTTCCTTTTGACTCAAAAACAATGATCATTTTGTTCATTTAAAAAATTTTAGCCATTGGGCCTGGCACGGTAGCCCAGCGGCTAAAGTCCTCACATTACTCGTGCCAGGATCCCATATGGGCACCAGTTCCAATCCTGGAAGCCCTGCTTCCCATCCAGAGCCCTGCTTATGGCCTGGGAAAGCAGTCAACGACAGCCTTGGGACCCTGCACCTCCATGGGAGACCTCGAGGAGGTTCGAGGTTCCTGGCTCCTGGCTTCGGAGCAGCTCAGTTCTGGCCGTAGCGGTCACTTGGGGAGTGAATCAGCAGACAGAAGATCCTTCTCTCTGTCTCTCCTCCTCTCTGTATATATCTGACTTCCCAATAAAAATAAATACACATTAAAAAAAAAATCCTAGGGGCCGATGCTATGGCATAGCAGACCCCATATGGGCACAGTTCATGTTCCACTGCCAACCCTGCTCCTTGCGTACAGCCTGGGAACAGCACAGGATGCCTGGGCTGCACCTAGGTAAGGGATCCGGAGGAGGCTCCTGGCTCCTGGCTTTAGATCAGCTCAACTCCTGCTGTTATAACCATCTGGGGAATCAGCAGGTGGAAAAACTTTCTGTGACTTTCAAATTAAAACAGATTATAAAATTTCCCATCATTCATTCAAAATGCTTTAACAACTTTAATTTGTTCAAGATGCACTAGAATGAGAAAATAAGACCAAGTCATCAGTAGTTTATGGGATCCACGCATATCTAACGAGGACAGAACAAGCTGCATGACGTCACGGAATCATGAGCTCAACCTGATGTTCCTAATCGGATCCCAGCCTCCCTTACAGCCTACATTCATGAGCAAGCTGAGAATTACTAACCTAAAAGTATGAAATGTGAAATGCTACAACATTTTCCTATTAGAGATATTTGGTGAATTCTACACAAATATTCCCAAATCCAAAATCTCAAACACCTTTGGTCCCAAGCATTTCAGATGAGAGGTTCAACAGTCATGAAATATGAATTAAGAAAATATAATTGGTTCTAAAAACAATGCTTATCTTCATACATAAAAAACATGGAAGCTATGCCCTCTCTGTACTAGAGACAGCAGAGATGGGCAGCAGCTCATGGAGTGTAGTGGCATCTGCCATCACCAAGCTTGGGCAATAAGGACTCCCACGGGATCTCTCTCACACTCTGCAACAGCCCAAAGCCTTGGGACCCTGCACCCACGCGGGAGACCCCGGAGGAGGCTTCTGCTTCGGGGGGCTCAGCTCCAGCCACTGTGGCCACTGGGAGGGTGAGCCAGCAGACAGAAGTTCTCTCACTGTCTCTCCTCCTTTCTGGAGAGCTACCTTTACAATAAAAATAAATCATCCACTAAAAATCCTTTAAACTCCCAGACTTCAGATTATGTTTTAAATGTTCTGCTATCCATTTTTTTTTTTCGGACCAACAACCCCTTGCTTATTTTAATTTCCTTTATATTCCGCCCTGGTTTAATTCACACATATTTTATGTCCTTACGGTAAGAATCTTTCTTTTAATCCCTGCATTGTCTCTATATTCCCTAGGTGCATTCAGTGAAGATATGGGGAGAGGGATCTTACTACACAATACACAGGCCTTAAACTACTTAGAAGATTTTTTTCTTAGTTTTTCTTATTTGAAAGGCAGCTGCAAAGATTTCTCTCTCTCCCTGTCTCTCTCTCTCTGTCTATATATATATATATTTATGTGTGTGTATCTGATTTACTCCTCAGACGACCGCAAAAAAAAAAAAAAAAAAAAAATTAAAAACAGATAGGAAATAAATAGCACTGGCACAGCAATTCACGTCTAAAGAAAAAAAGATTCTCCAAGCATAATACTTAGTAAGTTAAAATTATAAATACATGTAATTTGTTGATATGTATTATTGGGAAAAACAGCAACCACTACCTTTCCAGAAAGAAATGGTTTTAAGTTACAATCTTTCCAAATATCTATTTTATTTTTGGCAAACACAGGTTAAACTTTTTTCTTACATATGTAGATGTTTCCATTTAACTGCCAATCATACCAATAAATATAATAAAACAAACTCCATTTAATTAAAGAATCTTAAAATGTAAACTTACTCTGGCCTTGTTCCTGTTTTATCACCTAGAAAATTCAAGAAATTTCATGTAAAATAGGACACTGTATTCCAATCACACGTTTTAAACGAACACAAATTAAGGTGTAAGCAGACACTGCTGTTTCTTCCCCAGCCTCTCAGAACCCGCACTGCTCCGACTCCTGTGAGCACACAGCACGCTGAGCGGAGCCGGGCACGCAGACCCGGGCACGCAGACCCGGGCACGCAGACCCGGGCACGCAGACCCGCTGCACAGCTCTTCCACCTGCTCCGTTCACCTTCCGCAAAGCAGCACCCCGACCACAGCTGAGCTCCTGTCAGGGTCACCTGGGAATCGTTAAGGGCTCACGGTAAGAACAGCTCCAATCTGACAATTTCTTTAAACAACTGTCCCAGTTTACCCTTCCATCTGCCTTGAGTAAGGCTTTTGTGCATCAAACCCTGAACAACAATGAACATATTTAAGAAGAAAAAAACAACTTTTCTGGTCATTTAGGAGAATATAATTTTAATTCGTATTTTTCAGGTACTAGTGAGGTAAAAAGATTATCCTCAAATGCTCATTAAGCAAGTGTATTTGTCCCTTTGTGAACTGCCTACACATATTTTTATTATTAACTTCTAAAAACTACTTCAACTATGACAAACTGATATAAGCTTCGTGCATTTCTAATTTCTAAAATTCGACTAAATTCTAAATATATCTTGATTTCAGAGGGGCTAATATGGATAAAAAAATAAGCTCTGAAACAAAACATTTTACTTTCCATTTTCTTTTACCTTTGGACATGAGATTCCATTTTTCTTCCTAAAGATTTATTTTTTCAGCTGAAAAACAGAGTTCAACACAGAAGGATGTTCCAAACACTGGTGCAATCTCCAAAAGGCCAAGGCGGCAGGAGCCAGGTCAGTTCAAAGTCAGGGGCCAGGAGCTTCCACTGGGCCTCCTACCTGGACACGTACAGGGGCCCAGGGACTTGGGCACGCTCTGCTGCATTCCCAGGTGCCTTAGCAGGGAGCTGATCCGTCATGAGCAACCAGATCAGCTGTCGATGCCAACAGGCAGCAGTTTTATCCACTAAGCCACAGCACCACTTCTGAGATTTCATTGTTCTACTTCAGCTGACTGAACCTTGTTTTTCCATATTTCATATTTACTGATTCTCTTTTTCTTTTATGTTTCTGAATTTGGCACTCAACTTTGGTAAGTAGGGTCTTTGTATTTGATGATACATAGTAATACTGTTTTTCAAAATAATTTATCATTTTTAAAAGGCATTACTCAATATTCTGTTTTAGTCATATTTGTGAAGTATGTATGTTTTTACAGATATGTATATGTCAAACTCAGGCCTGTTAGTAGACTACCATGGATCTCTAATTAGTCTAGTTTTGCCTCAGTAACACACAGGAATGACCACAAAACTTTTTAATACTTCCCCACACCTATTCTTGCCTTCCTGTATATGCCAATATACTCTATATTGGTTGTCAAAATTTCCTTAATCTTAAAGTATAAGTATCATCAAAATCCTTGAGTAGGGGCAGGCATTTGCCATAGCATTTATGTCATTTGAGACACCTTAAACCCCGAGTTCCAGTCCCAGCCCCCAAATCCAGCTTCTTACTAATGCAGACCTTACGAAGCTGCCAACACGAACCAAGCAGCTGGCCCTTGTCACTCACGTGGGAAGCCTGACACAGTCCTTGGCTTCTGCCTGCGGCTGGCCTCCTGAGCTCTCTTCCTCCCTCTCTGCTTTACAGGTGAAACCCTTCACTGGATCCCAAATGCCCTTAGCAAAATGACAAAACTCAGCGTGGCGTACAAAGTTTCCACGGCCTCAGGACAAAAGCACAGCCTGCCAGTCCTTGTCACCTCCAACAGGTGTGTAGCTTCGAGCACTGAATGCTGCCTCACGATCACTGTTCACTTGATGAAATCCCACGGATAAAACTGCAGTCCAAAGCTGGTTAATGCAGAACTACTAGGAAGACAAACTTTTCCCATTGGCAAGAAGAGAATGCCCATACATTCCCGACACTTTCACAAACTCTGTATTTTCTTGGTCAACACTAGCAAAGGTACGCTAGGACTACATGAACTCTGCAGGGACGGCCTAGAGAAGAGATATTAACTCCTTACGTCTCTCTTACTTTTCTATAAAGCAAAATAAACTAGAAACAAATACAAATTGTTTGTAGACAATGGTTTCTGATACGGAGTAAATACGAATATATACATGATTCTTATTGAAAACATATTAATATCCACATTAAGATAGCCACTAAAGATCACATGTACAAACTAACCTGTTATCTACAAACACAAAACCTGAAATGGGTGACACATAATGTAAAAAATGAATCATAATGTGAACAAACAAAAAAACTACATAACTGAACACATCAACAAATGTTGTATATAACTTGGGTGTTTTGAGTGACCTAGAGGTTCCCAAACACACAGCATAAAATTACTTACTCTTTTTATCTGATGAGCTGCTAAAATCTATCCCGCCAAGGCCTTCGCTGCCTGCAGTTGAAGTAGCGGGTGCAGTTCCCAAAGTCAAACCTAAAGTATTCTGACCAAGACCTACAAAAACAACAAACACGTCAGCTCACTGAAAGATCTAGAAACAACCGACCCTCACTAACCAAAACACTTAGTGCTTTTAATACAGTTCTCAGACTTTCTTTGGACTTAATTTATGAAAATTAACTGAAGCTAAATTTGGAATATGCTTTGGTAAAGACTGATAACCTTGCTTGAATTCAATGGTATATGGCTTTGATCATATGGTTTTCTCATTCTTAAGTGGCCAGAACAGGGGGCCAAAAAGATGGCTCAACTGGCAACCCATATGGGCCCTGATTTGTGTGCCAGCTGCTCCACTTCCCATCCAGCTCCTTGCTTGTGGCCTGGAAAGCAGTGGAGGACGGCCCCCTATCTTGGGAACCTGGTGACCGTGTGGGAGACCAGGAAGAAGATCCTGGCTTCGAATCAGCTCAGTGCTTGCCATAGTGACCACTTGAGGAGTGAACCAGCGGATGGAAGATCTTTCTCTGCAACACTGCCTTTGCAATAAAAAGTTAAAACTTGTTAAGGCTTATTGGCCAGAATGGAAGCGAGTATCATGGCACAGCAGGTCAAACTCGGGACATGTGCAACCCATACCACTATGCCAGGAGGTCTAGCCCCTGCTAATGCAAGGCAACCAACAATGCCAAGTACCTGAATTCCTGGCACCCAGGGGGTGCAAGGTCTCCCTCACGGGTACAGGTTCTCCCACATGGGTTCAGGGTCCCCCGCTCGGGTTCAGGGTCTCCCACACGGGTTCAGGGTCCCCCGCACGGGTGCAGTGTCCCCCGCATGGGTGCAGGGTCCTCTGCATGGGTGCAGGGTCGCACCCTCTGCTGCTTTCCCAGACCCAGGAGCTGAATCAGAGTGCAGTAGTGGAAACCTGAACAGGCACCCACGTGGGATGCTGGTTTGCATGCAGAGGATTAATTTGCAGAGCCACATCAGCCGCTAATCTTGTTTTCAAATCACACTTTGGAATTATAGCATTTTCAAAACAATCTGGTGTGAATTTATAACATTTGAGTACAATCATATATTGGGAACAACTGAGCACTTCTAGGTTTTTTACAGAAATCTTTCAGATATAGACTTCATTTATTTCTTACATGACTGAAAAAAAAAAAAACTGAAGAGACTAAGAAGTAATGAATGGTAAGTCATTAACATATACTGTGACCCCAACAGCAACATTTCAAAGACCTTAGAAAGATAAATCTATGTATTTCTAAACTGACACAACCGTTCCTCTTTTATAGTCAACATGCTATTTTAAAAACACAAAAACAATAAATCATAATAACAAAAAACTGGATTTAAATTCCGGCAATGCACGACAGAAACATGATTTATTCAATATTTAAAATAGCTTTTAAAAGTTACTGGCATCAGGGCTGGGCAGCATGGCCTAGCAACTAAAGTCCTTGCCTTGAACACGCCAGGACCCCATATGGGTGCTGGTTCTAATCCCGGCAGCCCTGCTTCCCATCCAGCTCCCTGCTTGTGGCCTGAGAAAGCAGTCGAGGACGGCCCAAAGCTTTGGGACCCTGCACCCACGTGGGAGACCCGGAAGAGGCTCCTCGTTCCCGGCTTTGGATCGGTGCAGTACCGTCCGCTGTGGTCACTTGGGGAGTGAATCATCAGATGGAAGATCTTTCTCTCTGTCTCTCCTCCTCTTTGTATATCTGACTTTATAATAAAAATAAATAAATCTTTAAAAAAAAAAATAAAAGTTACTGGCATCTTTAGGTTAACATACACATGAAACAAGCAATGAGTGTCTCAAGCACAGAGGAAGAACCTGAGTACACCCAGAAATTCAGCAAGGAGACCTGAATGGACTCTGCCACTTCCTGCTATCATCTGTTCATTTTTGTTTTATAAAATGTATGATACAATCATCTACTGATTTGGTTATCAGAAAACATTCTGAGTATCTACAAAGCTACACAATTACAACAAAATAAACCTTTTGTGTAAATCTGAACACCACAAATTTCTCCAGCTTATCCTGACGGAACCATTTCCTGCCCTGCCACTGACCAGGATTTTCTCCACCATATTTTGTATCTCAAGAAAGAACAAAAAAGGAGCTAAAGCTTAACAGAGGAGATGAGATCATGTTTGGGTGTCACCACTCTCACACATCCCCTTCTGTACGGTGCCATGGCCCCCTGCCCTGCCCTGGACCTTCGGCCCTTAGACGCACGTAGCTGGCAGCACAGTGCCCTGTTGACACCGTGGTGTCAGCTCAGGGTTCATGCTGAAGTAGTCCATCAGGGCTCTCAGGAGACATCCAATCCAAGGCTGGACAGCCACTTTTCTTTTTATTTTATTTATTTATTATTTAAAGATCTACTTATTTTTATTGGAAAGGCAGATCTACAGAGAGGAGGAGACACAGAGAGGAAGATCTCCCCAAACGGCTGCAACGGCTGGAGCTGAGCCAATCTGAAGCCAGGAGCCAGGAGCTTCCTCCAGGTCTCCCACACGTGTGCAGGGTCCCAAGGCTTTGGGCCGTCCTCGACTGCTTTCCCAGGCCACAAGCAGGGAGCTGGATGGGAAGCAGGGCTGCCGGGATTAGAACCGGCACCCATATGGGACCCCAGCACGTGCAAGGTGAGGGCTTTAACCACTAAGCTATTGTGCCAGGCCATGGACAGCCACTTTTCCAGAACAGAGACATAACCCATACATCAAAACAGGTGACTAATAAAATCCCAAAGGAATATGAATGGATAAAATCCTGAATCCAATCAGATAAAACAAGTTTAAGACCTTTGCTGGAACTTACAATATTTACAGAAATCTTTTTTTTAGGACTGCATTAAATTTCACAACTACAAAGTAGAGAATAGAAGACTACCCACTCAGAGCACTCTGTGTAGAAACGCCTTAAACTAACAAAGAATGTCGGATAGATTTCAGCAGTCACTCAGCGAAATGAAGCGCCAACAACCAAAGCTGACGAACAAGCTCAAGAGGCCCAAACCGGGGCACAGCACGCTAAGCCTCTAACTGCAGTGCCTTTGATCCAGCTGGGAGCCAATTCAAGTCCCAGCTCTTCCATCTCCAATCCAGCTCTCTGCTAATGGCCTGGGAAAGCAGCAGAGGATGGTCCAAGTGCTTAGGCCACTGTAGTCACATGGAGACCAAGAAGTAGCTCCTGGCTCCTGGCTTTGGATCTGTTCAGCTCCAGTTGTTGTGGCCCTCTGAGGAGTGAACCAGCAGGTGGAAGATCTCTGTCTCCCCTTCCCTCTGTGACACTATCTTCCCAATAAAAATAAATAAGATCTTAAATTTTTTTTTTAAACAAAGACACCACACTGAAAATGAGGATTCATCTATAAACTTCCCTGCAAAGCAGTAGATACAAAGACAAATCACCTATCATGACCGTCTAACAAATAAAAACCAGTGAAGAAACAAAAATTGTTATTCACCCAGAGTACTCAAAATATAAGGTCTTATTATTCAATAAAAATAGTAAGAGGCAAGCCTAGTGTGTGGGCACTTCCTGTGAATTCTGTCTGAAGCACCGGGTACTGGTCCAAGTCCTGATGGCTCTACTTCCCATCCAGCTGCTTGCAGACGGCCTGAGAGAGCAACAGAGGATGGCTCACGTCCGGGCCCCTGCATCGACATGCAACACCCAGAGGCTCCTGACTGCCGGCTTGGACAGGCTTGGCTCTGGACATTGTGGCCATCTGAGGAGTGAACAAGCAGATGGAAAATCTCTCTCCCTATCTCTCTCTAATTCTGACTTACAGTAAAAAACAGATATGTCTTTATATACATACAAAAGTAAGATTAACATTTTGTTGAGATCTTGGGGCCCGGCGCCATGGTCTAGCAGCTAAAGTCCTTGCCTTGAATGCAATGGGATCCCATATGGGTGCTGGTTCTAATCCTGGCCACCCTGCTTCCCGTCCAGCTCCATGCCTGTGGCCAGGGAAAGCAGTAGAGGATGACCCAAAGCCTTAACCCAAGTGAGAGACCCGCAAGAGGCTACTGGCTCCAGGCTTTGGATTGGCTCAGCTCCAGCCATTGCAGTCACTTGGGGAATGAATCATCGGATGGAAGATCATCCTCTTTGTGTCTCTTCCTCTCAGTATATCTGAGTTTCTAACAAAAATAAAATAAATCTTAAATAAACAAACAACTGGGGCCACCACTGTGTCACAGCACATTAAACCTCCACCTGTGCTGCTGGCATCCCATACGGGACGGCCCGGCTCTTCTACTTCAGACTGACTTCCTTGTACACGAGCCTGGGAAACAACTAACATGGCCCTGCACCCACCAGGAAGATCTGCAAGCAGCTCCTGGCTCCTGGCTGTCACCTGGTCTACCTCCAGGCATGGCAGCCATTTGGAGCTGACCCAGTGGAAGGAAGGATTTTCTTTCCTTGTTTCTCTTCTTCTCTCTGTAACTCTAATCATTAGAAAAAGAGGACCCAGCATGGTAGCCTAGTAGTTAAAGTCCTCGCCTTGCACCTGCCAGGATCCCATACAGGTGCCAGTTTGTGCCCAAGCTGCTCCACTTCCCATCCAGCTCCCTGCTTGTGGCCTAAGAAACCACAGAGGATGGCCCAAAGCCTTGGGACCCTGCACCTGTGTCTATAAATATAGTTAAGATGTTAAATTATGTATAAAAAATATTTTTACAATTCAGTTCCCACTAAGAGAGAAGCATACTGATTAAAAATCTGCAGAAAGGGCCAAAAGAAGGATAAAGCAAATTTGAATATAAAGATTTACCACTCTGAAGAATAAGTGCCATCGATTACCTGATGTTGCTGTGTTCGTGCTCTGGAAAAGCGATCCTCCCAGACCAGTCAAAGCACCGCCTAGCGACAGGCCTGTGGATGCAGTGGTAGTTGTGGCTGTTCCACCCAAATTATTCAGAGTAAACCCTGTGGATGCTGTAAAGATGAGCCAGTAAGCCTTCAACAGGCAGCAGCAGTTAAGAACACCACAGAAAAAGACAAAGAACAAATCCAAGAACTACTTCCATAACAACTGACTCTCTGGAAAAGTTACTAAAGATGAAATGACATATAGCAATAGAAACAGTTGCTTCAACGCAAAATCACTGGCAAAATTAAAGGCTTTGAATCATATTAGAAGAGTTCCAGAAAGACGATCCCAGACAGGAGTCACCAAAAAAAAACCCCAAAAAGCCTTCAACCCAAGCCACCACCTACACCTTTAAAGTTACATCCATCTGACAGTCTTACACCAAGCCAGGATTACAGTGTTTCCCCTCTCCACGGGACTCTCTGCCCCCGCCTCCCTCCCTCGCCCCTGCACCCTCCACGTGGAGCCCATCCGCATCTGCTGCTTCAACACCCACCCTGACTTCCGTCCTTCAGCAAGTCAAGCCTGCGGAAGGGGAATGGGTGTTTGGTGTGGCAGTGACAGCTGTCATGTGAGATGCCTGCGGCACACACTGGAGTGTCCGGCGGGGGCCACAGCTCTCTACTCTGGATTCCACCCTCTGTTAACGTGCACTCTGTGATGGCACGAGTCCGTGGGTCTCCGCCCGGAGCATGGCTGCGTGGAGCTCTGGGCCTCGGGCAGCAGCCTGCTCCAAGGTGGCTGTCGGCGCCACTTGGGCAATGAACCAGCAGATGGAGGCGCTTTACCTACCTATCTCGGATGTCCCTGCACTTCAAATAAAATAAAAATAAGCTTAAACATTTGTAATGCTTTAACAATTAATGTCCAAAACCAAGTTGTAATTAATAAAAGCAAGTAGGTTTGTTCTCTAATCAAGTAAAATGTAAATTTAACCATAAATGCAAATGTTTCCCACTCGGCCTCACCTGCGGGGGTTGATGTCAGGGCAGAAGAAAGAGTGAGACCACTGGCTGAGGTAGTTGTCACAGGCAGAGCAAAGGGCGTGGCAGACGCCGCGGGCTTACTGAAGCCCAAGCTGAAGCCTGAGGTCGCTGCAGACGTAGTCGCTGGCGCTCCTGACACAGAAACAAAACCCCATTTTACCGAGTCCGGACAAGCACACCGTACTGACTCCAAGCTGAGTCTCTAAATGTGATCGTACTTCTTCCCGACAGACGGCAGGAGTCCACGAGAGAGAAAACACAAAGCCTGTGACGGAGTCACGGCAAATGCAGAGAGGATGCCTGGGGTAAGAAACGCCAGAGGCGGCCCCGCCACGGAGCCTCACAAACCGCAGCATCTCCCTCCCTCCCTTCTTCCCGCAGCCCCTCTCCTCCGGGACCGGGCAGCATCGCCCTGTGCTCTGCTCGCTGCCTCCTCTGGCCTTCCAGCTCCCTTCCTCTTCAGTTCTCCGTCCTCTGCTCAAGTCTTAAATCATCTCGCTACTATCCCACTCCTGCTTCCTCACACCCCACATCACCTCGCAAATACTCGTCACTTCTACAAGCATGAGTCTAAGCGGTATGTGCCTGAACCCCCGTCACATGAGCTCTTTCCGTTGGACTCCTCTCTATTTCTTCATGAAAAGAAATGGACGACTAAATAAACAAGTTCATGAAACCTTGCTAAATTATTCACCTTTGTCAATTCAATTGTTCAGCCCCAAAATTACTCTCCTGACAGCCTTTTCTTCCTTTGGTCTTCATTCTTCAGCAATCTGATTACAGGCACCTTCAGAGACACCCCAGCTCAAGCCACCTGTCCCAAGAACTGTCACAACAGCCTCTTAATTTACACTCTCTGAACTTCTAGTCTTGCAGTTACCTCATTTACTTTAAAAGCGCATATCCTGGGGATTCTGCCCAACATCCTGTTTCTAGACTATTTCTAAGATAGTCTGAATACTTGGCACACAACATCCCTTTCCTATCTGTTCCCAACAGGCTCCTTAAGTCACCCTCATCATTCCCATCTCTGAATCCTAACCTTCAAGAACAAAGCCTCCTGTATGTCTCCAGGACTTTTTATGATTGACCATGTGCCCCGCCAGTCCTCCGACTGGAATAACCTCACTTTTCTCCAGGAAAATCCTCTTCCCTGCCTGCCTCTGTAGTGGCGTCCCACATCTGTCATACAGGGACCAGATCACACAGGAACCTGTTACTTTACCAACACGTCATCTTCACGTCCCAGGAGACTGACGGCTCCACCCGGGCACTTGGCAGTCCCCTACCTCATCCTCAGGCCCAGCCTCACCTCTACCCCACCGACTTACTAATACCGAACACGTGACACAACTTTGTGTAAACAGGCCACATAGATTCCACAGCTTCAGAAAATAAGGGGACCCCAACTGCCAACTCCATTCAAAACTTGGGTGATAAAATGGGTAAGCTGCATCTTCTGTTGCTAACCAGTGAGAGCATCAAGGACCTGTCCTCAGAACTTGACCTCCCCACACTCCCGCTCGGGGGAGAGGACAGCAGACAACAAAAACCCAAAAACAAAACACACAAATCTGGAATTTTTATCCTCAAAAAGCCTTACCCAGAGTTAATCCTGAAGTTAAAGTTGTTGCTATTCCTAGGGATAAAAAGAAAAATAAAATTCGATCAAAAAGGAAGATGGCATTCTAAAATTAGTTTATTTCCCCAAAATAAAAACTTGGAATCCTTCTAAGGAAGTGATAATACTTCTAAAACCCTAAAACAAATTCCAAATCATATCAAAAGAAAATAACTAATTGTCCATGGGTTACATTTATTACTTCCAAATAAGTGAAGTTGTCTTAAACAGCAATCATTACTGAGGTGAAACACTACATTATGTAATGTAATAGAAAATTTTAAATTATCTTATTAAAGTATATTTAAAGAAAAAGACAGTCTTAAATTCTTGGAGAGAGTCAGACATTTGTCCCTGCACCATGGTAGATCAGAGCCAGGGACTGGGGCTATGTTTGGTCTTTTCTCCCAAACTCCAATAGTTTTTAATCTCAGTGCTTCCTATCTTGTCAGGCCTACTCCCAGTGCTGACTCCTGCAACATGCCAGCTCTCCCCTCCCAGTGCTGACTCCTGCGACATGCCAGCTCTCCCAGTGCTGACTCCTGCGACATGCCAGCTCTCCCAGGGCTCACTCCTGCGACATGCCAGCTCTCCCCCTCTCAGTGTGGTCGCCCTTACCTGTGTTGGATCCTCCCAGAGTGAGTCCAGTGGCAGGTTTAGATCCAAAGAGCCCAGTTCCAAAACCGCTGGCAGCAGATGTGGTTGCAGGAGTTGCAGTGCTTCCCAGAGTTCCAAAGTTGAGCCCCACAGAAGGGTTGCTTGTTTGGGAAAAACACAAAATACAATCTAGTAGGGCTATATGACTTAATAAAAATAAAAATTCTTCAATTAATCACTTCAGTTTTTGTAACACATCTAGTACACGCTCCTAGGACCCTCACAGTAAATTTTTAACTGAGTTCAAATATTCGTCTAGTCATCTAAAAAAAAAAAACCCAAATCTGATTGTAAAATTATCTTTAAAAATATACAACCAGGTGTATTTTTACACATGGAGTGGGGCCGGCAGAGTAGCATAGTAGCCCAGGCACCCCATTTTGGCAACAATCTGTGTCCACGCTGCTCCATTCCCCATCCAGCTCCCTGCTTAAAGTCTGGGAAAGCAGCAGAGGCTGCCTCAAGTTCTTGGCTCCCAGCTTCAGCCCAGTGTGGCTTTGGCTGTTGCGGCCATTCGGGGAGTGACCCCAACAGATGGAAGGGCTCCTCTCTCTCCTTCTTTCTCTAGAAATATCTTTCATAAATAAATACACATGCATGTGTGCAACACACACACGTACACAGAGCCAGCTTATCAGAAAAGTGAGAGTGTTGGACCTTAATATAATCGGCTATAAGGAGCTCACATATTCTGCTTTCCTCAATTTTATATAAAACCTCTCTTTTAAAAGATTTATTTATTTTTATTGGACAGTCTGATACACAGAAAAGAGGAGAGACAGAGATGAAGATCTTCCGTCTGTTGATTCACTCCCCAAGCAACTGCACCAGCCAGAGCTGAGCCAATTCAAAGCCAGGAGCCAGGAGCTTTTTCTGGGTCTCCCACGCTGGTACAGGGCTCCAAGGCTTTGAGCTGTTCTTGAATGTTTTTCCAGCCACAAAAAGGAAGATGGATGGGAAATGGGACGGCTGGAACACAAACCAATGCTCATATGGAATCCCAGTATATGCAAGACGAGGACTTTAGCACCTAGGCTACCAGCCAGGCACATATATATTTAAAAAAGAAAAAAAAGAGGGCCCAGGTTGGTAGCTTGGTGGCTAAAGTCCTCACCCTGCACGCACGCCTGGGATCCCATATGGGCACTGGTTCTAATCTCGGCAGCCCCGCTTCCCATCCAGCTCCCTGCTTGTGGTCTCGGAAAGCAGTCAAGGATGGCCCAAAGCCTTGGGACCCTGCACCTGCATGGGAAACCAGCAGGAAGCTCCTGGCTTCAGATCAGCACAGTACAGCACCAGCCGTTGCGGTCACCCAGGGAGTGAATCATCAGACAGAAAATCTTCCTCTCTGCTTCTCCTCCTCTCTATATATCTGTCTTTCAAATAAAAACAAGTAAATATTAAAAACGAATTACAGAGAAGAGTCCAGAGAGATTGTAACAACACACACAATAAAATGGGCAATCTCATTTTCCCTCTCTGCTCTTGCATAGAAACATAATCGCAACGTAAGAATGCAATGTCACTTGCATGGCTAGATTCCAGCACGAGCTCTCTCATGTCACCCCACGTGTCTACCAACATTTACCCTCCCGAGTCTGTTTCCTCATCCATAAAAAGGGAATAACAGAAGCCAAAGTAGCAGGGTTTTGCAGGATAAGGTTTGGCAGGATACAGTTAGCTTCAGGAATAGTTCTCACTAGGAATAAATTCAACTGAACACCTTATATGCAGCACTTTATGCCAGAACAGCTGAGGGGCACAAAGACCACTAACACAGCGCCTGTCCACAACACAAGCCATTTCTTAGGGGATGAAATGAGAGATCTGCATCAGATCAGAATGGTTCTACAAGTCACACGGGTCCTAGCATCAATCCCGTGCCAGCACAAGGAGCCATCCAATTTTTCTGCACCCATGTGGGGCCTCAAGGGAGGGGAGCACTTAGCTCCAAGGGGTAGAAATGCAGGCCCTCAAAATATTCCCAGCCACTGCACAGCCGAGGAGGCACCAGCCTGAGGGAAAGCGCTGGTCAATGTGAGGGGATCGGGGAGCCATCACAGATGCACAACTGGACCCGGGCCCCAGCTCCGAGCAGCCAGGGCACTGCGTGCATGCTAGCCACGCCTCAGCTGACCCTGTGGGTGCAGAAGGGCAGCAGGGAAACAACAGACAAGGACTTACACTAAAGCACAGATCGTTACAGTGACTGGATGAAAAGGCGTTTTAGGAACAGTTACCCACAATTAAAACTGAGACAAAACAAAAGAGTAGAGGCGCTAGAGCGGGTTGCTCATGGGCTGCCCCGCCCCCTGCAGCACAGGCATTACATACAGGCGTCGGCTACAGCCCCGCAGCCCCACTGTCCGTCCAGCTCCCTGCCTGTGGCCTGGGAAAGCAGTGGGGGACCGGGCCCCTGCACTGGGAGACCCACAAGATGACCCTGGCTCCTGGCTTCAGACGGGTTCAGCTCCGGCTGTTATGGCCATTTGCAAAGAGGATGGAGATCTCTCTCTCTGTGTCTCCCCTTCTCTGTAAATCTGCCTTTCAAATTAAATCTTTGAAAAGAAAAAAAAAAAAAAGGAGGCGTAAAGAATATAAATGTCCAGACGTGGCGCTAAAACTAAAGAGAAAAAAGGATAACAGACGCAAAAGTATTTGTCTTACTCTGACAGCCTTATTTGGGACCTGCTGGGTATAGCATATGGGACAGAATGAATTAGTATTTCTAGGATTTTTTTCAAAAATTTATTTATTTTTATTGGAAAGTCAGGTGTACAGAGATGAGGAGAACACAGAGGATGTTCCATCCGATAATTCACTCCCCAAGTGACCACATTGACCAGAGCTGCAGTGATGCGAAGCCAGGGGCCTGGAGCCTCTTCCAGGTCTCCCATGCGGGTGCAGGGTCCCAAGGCTTTGGGCCGTCCTCGACTGCTTTCCCAGGCCACAAGCAGGGAGCTGGATGGGAAGTGGGGCTGCCGGGATTAAAACCGGTGCCCACATGAAATCCCGGTGCATGCAAGGTGAGGACATTAGCCACTAGGCTACTAAACCAGCCCCTACGGTTTTTTTTAATGAGCAAGATATTCAATTAGAAAAATGACTATTATACTCCCTTCATCACTAAACAAATCAACCACCACATTTTTAAAATGATTTATTTATTTTTATTGCAAAGTGAGATATACAGAGAGGAGGAAAGAGAGAGAGGAAGATCTTCCACCCGATGATTCACTCTCCAAACAGCTGCAATGGCCAGTGCTGCAACGATCCAAAGCCAGGAGCCAGGAACCTCCTCCAGGTCTCCTACAGTCCCAGTGTGTACAAGACAAGGAATTAGCCACTGGACAGTTACATAGGCTCCAGTTAAAATATTTTTAAATATTTATTTACTTTTATCACAAAGTGAGATATACAGAGAGGAGGAAAGGCAGAGAGGAAGATCTTCCGTCCAATGTTTCACTCCCAAGTGAGCGCAACAGCTGGTACTGCGCCGATCCGAAGCCAGGAGCCAGGAACCTCCTCCAGGTCTCCCACGCGGGTGCAGGGTCCCAAAGCTTTGGGCCGTCTTCTACTGCTTTCCCAGGCCATAAGCAGGGAGCTAGATGGAAAGTGGAGCTGCCGGGATTTGAACTGGTGCCCATATGGGATCCTGGTGTAAGAAAGGTGAGGACTTTAGCCACGAGGCCATGGCGCTGGGCCCTAAAATATTTTTAATCAATGAGCTCTAAAACATTTAAATGTCTTACAATTTAAGTTAACTGAAGGGGTTACGACAACTGAAGAAACCAAAGTTGAAAATGCTACCAAAAGGAATACATCAACATAAAAACCTTCCCATTGTACCACAGAACAGAATTTCTCTAAGTTTAATTTAATTACTTTAAGAAACACAAAAGTGGGCCTAGTGTGGTAGCCTATTGGCTAAAGTTCTCTCCTTGCATGCACCAGGATCCCATATGGGTAATGGTTCTAATCCCAGTTGCCCCGCTTCCCGTCCAGCTCCCTGCTTGTGCCCTAGAAGAGCAGTTGAGGATGGCCCAAAGCCTTGGACCCTGTACTTGCGTGGAAAGCCCAGAAAGGCTCCTGGCTTTGGATCAGCTGAGCTCTGGTTGTTGTGACCACTTGGGGAAAGAATAAGCAGACGGAAGATCTTTGTCTCTCCTCCTCTCTATATATCTCACTTTCTAATAAAAATAAACAACTCTTTTAAAAAAAACACACACACACAGAAGTGCTTCCAGGCCTGACCAACTTTAATGCAGTATTATCTCGAAGGACTCCTCCAGGTCTACCTTACAAGGCGGGAGCAGGCACTTAACCTGGCCGTTAGAACATGACTTGCAACTCGCACAATGCAGCATCAGACACAGTGCCTGGGCCAATTCCAGCCCAGTCTTGAGCCCAGCTTCCTGGTAATGTGCACCGTGGCACTCAGCAGGTGAGGCAAGCACATCCTGTCACCAAGAAGGAAGACCAGATTCAGGTCCTGGCTCCTGGCTGCAGTCTGGCCCAGCCTCGGCCGCCGAGGACACTGGGCGGAGGGAATCGGCGATGAGGTCTGTCTCTTTGCCTTCCAAATAAATACATTTAGGAAGTAGGGAGTGGACGGGGGGAGAGGAAGAGAAAGGAAAGCAAAGGAAATAAGACTACAAAGTTGATTCCACTCTGTCAGGAGGAACATCATCAGAGCTCTCCCCTCACAGGGCCTGGAAGCTGACCCGAGACTGCCCCACGAGGCAGGCACAACGCCCTGCTGCTCCCCTCCCATCCACCATCGCTGCGATCCCACGGGCAGTACAGCCCTGCTCCACCTTGGGATCTGTTCACAGAGTCGCACCTGAGAGACCAAGCTGGTGGAGTCGCGGACACCCATCAGGTCTTCGACGCCGGACTGCGTCCTCTCCTTCATTCACACAAGCCTTTCCACAGCTTAGCTACGCTTCTGACTTTGTTCTAATAAGTCACTTACTCAACAACCATTTCTCTCAAAGCCCCTTTTCCAACCAATTGAGGCTGGAGCGCTCCTGGGAATGGCGGGTGCTAAGGGCTCAGTCATTAAGTATGTACTAAGCATCATGCACTGTATCTACTGGAAAAACAAACATCATGGAGCTGATGCTCTAGACTGGGATCAGACAAGAAGTAAACGACAAATGCAACGAAGACCCAAGAATAGGGCCTGGGAAGGGAAGTGTCCCCCAGACTGACATGTCTCTCTCACACACACAGATTCATTCTCTCTCTCCCTCCCTCTGTCCGTCCCTCCCTCCCGTCCTCCTTCCCTCCCCTAAGAAGACAGTAATTGTGCCCCAGCAGCTACAGGTCCAGGGAGAGCCACGTTAGACAGACAGAAGTGCCCCAAAGTGGGAAGGGGTTTACCAAGCTCTTCTGAGGAAGAGAAAAGACCATGGTGGTAGCTTAGCGAATGTTCAAGCTGGGGCCACTAAGAGCACAGGGTTAATTTAGCAAGTTCCAAGCAGGAATTCTTGGACAAAATCCAACAGAACAGGAAATATCAAGGAAGTAAGAGTATCTCCCTCCGACACTTCGTTTCAGGCATTTATGCTGGGTGGTCACCTGAACACTACATTCACCTACAGTAGATTCCAACCACTGGAAACGAGATGGGACCCAGAGCAGCTTGGGAAAGTTCCACAACACACTGGGCCTGCAGAACCACGGTGAAATTATAAAGAAATGTTAACATCTTCTAAAGGAAAAACATTGATTAAATCCACCAATGTGTTAGAAAAAGCCCTCTGTCCAAGCAGACCTGGACTCAGCAGTCAGAGTAAATGCGAATTCATCCCCAGCGGGGTTGCAGGGGCAGTTTGCATCCCACACCAGAAGCCAGGCTGCAAACCTAACAAGAATTAAGTATTTTCTTAAAAGGTTTATTTATTTTTATTGCAAAGTCAGATATACAGAGAGAAGAGACAGAGAGGAAGATCTTCTGTCCAATGATTCATTCCCCAAGTGGCTGCAACAGCTGGAGTTGAGCAGACCTGAAGTCAGGAGCCTCTTCTGGTCTCCTACGCGAGTGCAGGGTCCCAAGGCTTTGGGCCTTCCTCAACTGCTTTCCCAGGGAGGTGGATAGGAAGTAGGGCTGCTGGGATTAGAACCAGCACCCATATAGGATCCTGGCACATTCAAGGGGAGGACTTTAGCTGCTAGGCTATCATGCTGGGCCCAAGTATTTTTTTTAATAAGAATGTGAGGGGAATGCAAGTCTCTACCTTACCATTAAAACCAAGCCTGGCACTGTCACCTAGCGACTAAAGTCCTTGCCTTGAACATGCTGGGATTCCTATGGGCACTAGTTCTAATCCCAGCGGCCCCACTTCCCATCCAGCTCCCTTCTTGTGGCCTGGGAAAACAGTTGAGGGTGGCTCAAAGCCTTGGGACCCTATACGGGATATGAGAGACCTGGAAGAAACTCCAGGCTCCTGGCTTTAGTTAGATTGGCGCATTTCCGGCCATTGTGGCCACTTGGGGAGTCAATCAGCTGAATGAGAGGAGATCTTCCCCTCTGTCTCTCCTCTCTGTATATCTGCCTTTTCAATAAAAATAAATATATATATATTTTTAAAAATCCCGAGCTTAACCCACAGGAATTTAACCTGCAATTACTTTTTGGTGAATTGAACAGCTTGAAGAGAAGTGGGGGTGTGGGGATGAAGACAGGTGGGACCTGTCAAAGTGAATCAAACCGATATGGTAGGAAACTCCCAGATTCCGGCCCTGGCTGAGTAGCCCGCAGTCCCCTCTTTCCTTCCCTTTGAAAACGGCAGCCGTGCTGACAATGCTGTCTGCCTCTCTCCTCCACAAACACAACCTGTAAGCTGCAAGCTTCAGGAGCTACGGCTGTCCACGGGTGCACCCTTCTTCCCTTCCCCACCCCTTCAGCTTGTCTTCCAAAGGCAGGAGTCCTAAAGGGGCTCTCTAGTGACATCCGGCCACCTAGCGACACCCTGGAAGGAGGGAGACGCACACGCGGGAAGAGCCTGCTGCGTGCATTTGGTCACCTAAGAAACCACGGGAAATCTTCACCACACACCATTCGTCCCTATGACACACGAACGCGCACCTGCCGCCCAAGTTACCAGCAATAAATGCTGTTTCAAGAAGACTCCATTTGGCACATGAAGCTCCTCAAAAATAACCAAGCAATCAGCAGAGCACCGTCACTTTCCATTAATTACAATCGTTGTTAAGGGAAGAAAAAAAACGGCTTTTCTTTTTTCTAAAAACTGTCCTTAAAATGTTCTCCTAGATGTTCGTGTCTGAAAACATCACAACATGGCAGCCGTTTCATTCATTCGTTCAACATTCATTCTACGCCCGAGACAATCGTCGCTGAGGCTCAGGAATGATGCCCCCAAGCCCCTTCGCCCACCGGGACCCCCACCCAGCAGTTCCTACGACGGAGCCGTGGGTGCGTTCCGAAGCCCACCGCCCTCGTGCCCAGCGGGGCGCCGGCATGGCCGGGACGCGGCGCGGCGGGCAGGAGGCCTACGGTGCCGCTCGGGGGTAAAGGCGCGCGTCCGTGCCTCCCCCAGCACACAGAGGGCAGGACTCCCAGGAGGGAACCTCGCCGGGCAGGGCCTGACCCTGGCAGGAGAGGGGAAAAACAAAACAAAAAAACGGTTACCTGGACGCCCCGGTCCCGAAGGTGAAACCGCCGCCCGTGGCGGTGCCGCCAGCCGCCACGGTGGTGGAGCCCAGCGTCCCGGACCCGAAAGAGAATGGCTGAGAGATGGACATGGCTGCCGGGGCTCCACGCTGTCTCCAAGCTTCCAAAGGGCGTTCTTGGCAGCCTCAGCGCCACGGCGGGCCAGGCAGCATCGTCTCAGCCCAGCTCCGGCCTGGCGGGAACTTGGAGCCTGGGCGCCCGAAGGACGGAGGCCGAGCGGGGCGCGCCGAGAACGCAGCGCGGGGAGCCCTGGGACGGGGGCGGGCGCGCGGCGCAAGGCAGCCCGGGACGGGGAAGGGCGCGCTCCGCCCACCCCGAAGCATGCACGCAGGCCTGTTCCAAACCCAGCTGTGCTTTTTAGTTCTTTATGCTCAAGTCCTCTTTAAGTCTACCTGCTTCCAACCCGCTCTTGCCAATGACGACGCACCGAAGAGCGTCCCGAAAGAAGCGGCGGCGCCTGGCTTGGGGGAGCACCCCATTCCTAGAGCAGCGACGGCAGAGCCCCCCATCTCGTCACTTGCGTTCCAGGGAGCAATTAGGGCGCCGGGGTGGAGACACTGAGTGCCCCGGGGACCCGCAGGAGGGCCTGTGCGTGGGGTTCCTCGCGGCTGCGTGGGGCTCTCACACCCGGTGCTGGTGACCTGGAACCGTAGTGTGGAAAGGTATTTTTTTTTCTTTTTTGTATGGAAATAAGTACCATACACGGTGAAATGTGAGGGTTCCCTGGGTGCACTGTCGACTGTTGCCGTCATAATGTGGGCCTTCGCTTTTTTTTACCCCGGAGATGGGTGCGGCCATTCCTCAGATGCTGTGCCGACCAGTCTCTTTCAGTCAAAATCTACCCTGTAGACAACCCCGGGTTGCTCCTCCTAAGACAGTTTCCAAAACCGCTGCTCCTTCTAGTTCAGCACTCTTACCTGCGAAACCTGTGCGTTACCACCTGCTGTGGAATGAAAACGCCTCCACAGCCAGGCGTTGGTCTCTTGGCTGCCCACCACGCCCCGTGGGGTTTGGGAAGATAAGGGCACGTTTGAGTGGCAAGAGTGAGTCCCCGTGTAGAGTTCTGGAGAACAGGGAGTGAGTTCTGTCCACCGTGGGAGGACAAAGCCTGAAGGGGTCCCCACCAGCAACCCATCAACGGGCACCTTGGCGTCGGAATTGCCACCCTCCACAACTGTGACAAACAGGCGGAATCTTGTTACAGCAGCTCAGACTCCGTGTATTTAACAGAAAAATGAAATAGCATTTTAAGCCTCTTAGAAGTCACAACGGAAATGAAAGAGAGAGAGAGAGAGAGATCTAAACTGTAGTTTAAAGGAAAGTTGCCTACTTCATGAGCAGGAGGAAAAAAAGTAAAGATACTGTGTTGCAAGGAGACCGGGTGAGAGCAGTGCCGCAGGTGTTCAGGTGCACCTTGCCAATTAGGAGCTCAGAGTGGAAGTGGACGTTTAAATTCAGTAAGAAAAGGATAAGCTGTGATTGGCAGGGCTAGTAGGACGACTTACAGAAGGACAGGAACCTTCCATCCTGTGCTTCACTCCCCAAAGGGTCTCCAGTGCAGGCGCTGGGCCAGGTAGAAACCGGGAGCCTGAATCATCATCTTTTTTTTTTTTTTTAAGATTTGTTTATTTATTGGAAAGTCAGATATACAGAGAGGAGGAGAGACAGAGAGGAAGCTCTTCCATCCGATGATTCACTCCCCAAGTGAGCGCAATGGCCAATGCTATGCCGATCCGAAGCCAGGATCCAGGAGCCTCTTCTGGTCTCCCACGCGGGTGCAGGGTCCCAAGGCTTTGGGCAGTCCTCGACTGCTTTCCCAGGCCACAAGCAGGCAGTGGATGCGAAGCAGGGCTGCTGGGATTAGAACTGGCGCCCTCATGGGATCCCGGGCGTGCAAGGTGAGGACCTTAACCACTGCGCCATTGCGCCGGGCCCCAAAAGATAGATTCTTACAGGAAAAAGAAGAGACAGAAATGGAAAATCTGCTATCCACTGGTTCACTCCCTAAATGGCCGCAACAGCCAGAGCTGAGCCGATCCGAAGCCAGGAACCAGGAGCTGGAAACCTCCTCCCAGCCTCCCAGATGGATGCAAGGTCCCAAGGCTTTGGGCCATCCTCCACTGCTTTCCCAGGCCACAGGCAGGGAGCTGGATGGGAAGCGGGGATGCCAGGACAAGTACCTGGGTCTGTCACGGGTTGGGAGACCAGGGTGGAGTTCCTTGCTCCAGGCTGGCCCAACCCTGGATATTGGGCCATTTGGGTAGTAACTCAGCGGACTTCTGTCATTCATTATTTTTTCAAATATCATCTTAGCTCTGGTCTTTCCTCTTTTCTCTTCCAGCCTATGCTCGTGAAGCTACAATTAGATTTATTTTAGACTTTTTGACTATAACCTTCATTTCTTGTAGCGATATTATTTTTTGGCATATTTACTATCTGTCTCTATTGTCTGCATTTTTTTCTGTTAGTAACTGCTAGTTTTTTAATCCATTTTTCTTTTGTCTCTAATTGTTAAGCCTATTGTTATTTCAACTTTTGTATGGATGTCTCAGTATCCTTGGGACTATTGGTTCCAGAACCTCTACAAATAACCAACATCCATAGATGCTTAAGTGCCCTATATGATATGGTATGATATTTGCCTAGAATCAACATGTACCCTCCCTTATATTTTAATAAGCTCCAGGTTACTTAAGGTATTTAGTCATGGAAAATGATTGCTGTACTATATCATTTAGGGAGTAATGAGACCAAAGAGTCTGTGTATTTTCCATACAGACAATTTTTTTTCATGGATATGTTTGGCTGTGGAATCCACAAATCCAGAAGCCTAACTATATTTACTTTTTTTTTTTTAAGATTTATTTTTATTATTTTTTTATTGGAAAGGCAGATATACAGAGAGGAGAGACAGAGAGGAAGATCTGCCATCCCATGATTCACTCCCCAAGTGAGCCGCAACGGTCGATGCTATGCCGGTCCGAAGCCAGGAGCCTCTTCCGGGTCTCCCACGCGGGTGCAGGGTCCCAAAGCTTTGGGCCGTCCTCGACTGCTTTCCCGGGCCACAGGCAGGGAGCTGGAAGGGAAGCGGGGCTGCCGGGATTAGAACCGGCGCCCATATGGAATCCCGGGCATGCAAGGCAAGGACCTTTAACCACTTGCGCCACCGCGCCGGGCCCCTATATTTACTTTTACAAGGGACCCGGTCCACTGGTTCAAGTGCTAATATCTGCCAGTTCATGTCCTGGCTGCTCCATTTCCCATCCAGCTCCTTGCTTGTGGCCTGGGAAAACAGTAGAGGATGGCCCAAAGCCTTGGGATCTTGCACCTGCGTGGGAGACCTGGATAGAAGCTTCTGGCTCTGACTGGGGTCAGCTCAGATCTGGCTGTTGTGGCCATTTCAGGAGTGAACCAGTGGATGAAAAGATCTTCCTTTCTGGTTCTGCCTCTCTCCATAAATCTGATCTGCTTTTCCGATAAAAACTAATAAATCTTTTTTTTTAAGAAAAATTTCTTTGGGTCTACTTTATATGTGATACATCATTTAAAAAATATATCCAATTTAATCTCTGGGCCTGGGTGGAGAGAGCTTCCACAGCCTGACTCAATGCTTGAGGCCCTGGCCACAGCCATGTGGTAAGCGAGTTCTGGGCTTTGGATAGCCCTTGCCCGTTGGTACCAGGCTCCACTTGCTGGCCACCCAGCAGCAAGCTCTGGGGTCTTGGGGGAGCTATTGCTGCTAGGTATGTCAGTCAATGAGGCCACTGTGTGTGTTGGTGAGGAATCAATATGAAGGACTCCCAATGACAGGGTCTCTTTTCTTGGAGATAAGCAAGGGTACTACTGCCTGGTGGTATGGAGGGGATAGGTCCAACAATCTCTATAGGTTAGATTGATACACCAGCCTACATGTGAGTCCACCTATGCTAGTCCATGTGTAAGCTACGGCTGGGGGCCTGTCTGGCAGGGCTAGGTCCTAGCACCTGACAGAATGTCAGAACAGGGGATGGGTCACATTAGGCAGGGCCATGACACTAACCAGCACATGAGAGAACCAGGTCCGGAAGTGGACTCTGTTGGGGAGGAGTGGGCCCAACCCTGTGAATATAAAAAACCCCATGGTTAGCTCAAGAGTTAGGGTGGTGATGGGCTGAGCTAAGTGTGACCAAAGAACCTGCCATCACTCACAAGTACAGGGACTAATAACAGTCTGGACAGATCCAGGCTGCAGCACCTGCGTGTGCATCCTAAAACAGCGTGTGGGGTGGGCTGCGCTGCCATATTCACAGCTCATACAAGGCCAAGATGGAAGACCAGACTATGCCTGGCACTGGGCCAACACCGACAGATATGTATGAGATCTGGGTTTGAGAGTGGGTCAAGCGGGGGAACTTGGGGTAGTTTCCTACTGGGTCCTAACTCTCACTGATGATCACATGGTCCAGGCTTGGGGTTTGAGCAAGCTGGGCAAAGTAGCTCCAACGATTGGGTAATGTGTGAGTTGGTTATGAAAGGGGCAGACTGGGCAGGGCCGAACAAACCTTAGCTCACTAGCAAGAACAGAAACAGGCTAGAGCACAGGTCATGCTGAGCTAGGCTCTCACACCTACTGGTTTCAATGAGCCAGGGATGGGAGTAGACTGAGCAGAGCCAGGTTCTAAACCCCACCAATGAGAATCAGGATGGGGGGGGGGTGGTCAGGGACCAGGCTAGGCTGTAGCTCCCAAGGCAAAGGCTAAGAGAGGGGAGGAGCTGTGCCAAGCTGGGTCAGAACAACCACTGGCATGTGCACAATCTATGGCTGGAAACAGGCCTGGTTGGGGAGCTAAGGGGACACCTTGGCTAGGTTGGAGTTTCTACTGGTGAGTGTGGGGGCCGGAGTGGGGGCTGCGTTCTGGTCTGGATATACCTGCAGTCTCCCTTGGCACAAGTGTGGACTGGGACTGGACACACCAAGCCAGTCTAGCCTCCAACACCATCTGGTGCTCTGAAGGACCAGGGTAGATGTAGGATGAACTAGGATAGGTCTTTGCTCCTACTGAGCCATGTGTGAGCTATGTGTGGGTATGGACAAGCCTTGGCTGGGCTCAAACATCCAACAGTAAGAACCAGAATAGGTCAAAGGCTAGTCAGGAAAGGTCACTGTTCCTGCCAGGACAGGAGGTGAACTAAGTGGGGCTGGCCCATGAACCCATCTGTGTGTGTAAGATCTGGCATTGGGAGAGGTTCTGATGGATGAGCTTGGGAAACTCCTCTGTTGGGACATAGTTTCTTCAGGTGAGTGCAAAAACCACGACAGGGAGCAGCCCAGAGCAGGCCAGGCTGGCTATTCCTAGAGGTGCAAGCATAAATCAGAATGGGTGAGGGTTGGTTGGGCTTTGCCGCAACATTAGCTGGCAGAGGCTGGCACGGGAGTGGGGGGCTAATTCTGTCAAGTTAAACTGTGGAACACCTGGAGAGTGCGTGATCTGGGACTGGGAGAGGGCCCAGTAGAGAAATCGTGGGTATTCTGCTCTTGAGTTACTACTCCCACCGTAGAGCATGAAAACCAGGACTGGGGCAGGGATGGCTAGACAGAACTGCACCCACCAGCATGTGTGTGTTGGTTGGATAGTGGGGTTGGTTGGGTTGAACTAGGCTTCAATGCCCATTGACATATAAGGACGGCTGAACGGAATGTGGAACAGACTGAATCAGTTTGCTGTACATACTGGCAGGCACAGGAACCAGGGTAGGGTTTGTGCCTGACGGGTGCTATTGGGAGTTGCTCTGACTAGGCTGCAGCTCCCACTGGTTTGTGTGAGGGCCAAGAATGAAATGGGCAGAATCAGGCTTGACTGCAACACCAAATGGTTCATGTGGAAGTCAAGGTTGGTAACAGAACTGACCCAGCAATTGCAACCACCAGCATATGAATAAGCTGATTGGGGCTACGGACTGTGCCGGACCCTGTACTAGCACATACACACAGAATCAGGTCTGGGATCACGTCAGACAAAGTTTCTTAGGGGATCCCCGCAACTGAACTGCTGATCTCAGAACCCCAACCATGAAGAGAAGTGCAGGTTCCATGGTCTGCCATGGAGTGCATGTGTCAAAGCTGAGCCTCCTCAGAGGCTCAGACGGAGCAGTGGACAGCATAACCAGCTGCACATGGAGGATATGGTAGTACATTGGAGCCTGCAGAGGACACCTGGTACCACAGCAGAGGACCAATGACAGAACAAACTGGTCATCTACCCCAGCCATGTGTTGGCAGTGAAAATCTGAGCAAATGGAAACTCTAAGGTGGACTGTGTCAGCCAGTGGATTCTGGAGATATTTCATCGTGCTTGAAATGGTGAGAATGACAACATTTCATAACTGTTGAGCTATCAAAACCACTTATGCAGTCCTCTTGAGCATGCCCCAGATCGGGGCCCATGGGATGGGTTTATTTCCCCCCTTACCCCTTACGGAGAAAAAAAAAAAAAAGAGAGAGAGAGAGAGAATTTGGGAATAATGGTCTTACCCACTTTCCTGTAGCCCTTGACCCTTTGTCCTTAATCAACTATGTAAAGATCATCAAAATAATATAATAATTATAAAAAGAAAAATTCGAAAAATATATCACACACTTTGCAGCTATTTTCGTTTTTTTAATTTATATATAATACAGGCATGGTTATTCTATCAAACCAGTCTGATAATTATCAAATCTGTTCCTATCCTCTTGTTCCTGCTGATAAACTCTAGTTGCAGATTGCTTCCTTTTTCGTTGGTTGGTTTTGTGGCTTTATTTTAATTTTCATTGGAACGTTAATAGTAAGAATTAGTTCAGGCTTATTAGTAAGGTGCATTCCAGCAGAAAAGTTTGTTTCGGCGAAGTTACTAGCAATGCTCACTCCCTACCACGTGAGCCACATTGACAACGTGAAGTTGTGAGGTTCCCTAGGAATGAATCTGCCTTTTGACCCTTTGAGGGGTGTGAACTCTCCCAGACAGTCACTATGCCATGGTCTCAGCATCAAGGCTGGCTTGCTCGCAGTGTTCTGCCGGGCTGCGGTTGGTTGAGTTTCTGTTGGTGCTGGGTATGCAGGATAAATGGGTCCCAAGGATCCCCCAGTGACTCTGGCTTCTGCACTCTGTGTTCTAGAAGGGTATCAGCAGAGAGTAGATGCTGCTGACTCAGAAACTCTCTTGAAGCATCAGCTTCCATTTGCCGCTTCCTTCTCTGGGCATATGTGTTCCTCTAGGTTTTGCATTTGTCATTTTTCACTGCCTTGTCTGTGATTTGATGCTGTTAGCATTGATTCTGTATGCTGTTATTATTACAGACTTTTTTTTTTTAAAGCAGAGAGATTTCCTGATCCATCATATTATCATAAATGGAACTTTGGCTGGATTTTAGCGAACAAATCAATACAGAACGGAGTCAGACTGTCTACCTTTGTAAAATGGTCTAGCCTTGTATGCCATTTAAGTTCATCGTGTCTTTTCCCATCTTTAAAGTGAAGAAAGTAACACTGTTTTCTCATAACACCTTTACTATACTTTCTGTCACCCGGTAATTACCTGGTGTTAGCTAATAAAGTTATCATTCCTCTCTAGAAGAATTGGTAAGAGGAAAGAAAAAAAAAACATTAAGAGATCAGATACAGGAGCATGAACTGTGTGGGTATCGGGAAGATGAGAATATGTCATACAAGCTAACTCAGGCCATTTTGTTTTCTGAAAAAAAAAAAAAACTATTGTTTTTCCATGTTCCTCCCGACCTTCCCACAGACGGGATTTGTGCCTGGGTGCTTTAGCTATGATACCATGCCAAGACTGGAGGTGACTCGGTCCTATCTTATTACATATTTACCTTACAAGCTGGACAGCAAAGCCACCTCCAAAATTGTGTTTATCAAGCATCTCCACGGAGACACTCTACAACACCAAGACAACTTAGTAATGTGAATTTTGTTATTAACCTAGAAAATAAAGCCCCCTACACTGACAAGCAGAACTGCCCCCAATTGATGCCACAGGCCAAGAACTACTGCATTGAAGGAATTATGAAAGTCACATGTTATTCGTGCTGCCACCCTGAAGTGTAAACTTCACAAAGCATCATCACACTGAGCTGTTGTGTAGCCAGTGGCCCCTCCACCCATTGACACAGCACCACGCTTGTGGTTTTTTTTAAAGATGTGAGAGGTGGAGTTATAGAGAGAGAGAGAGAATCTCCCATCTCCCCAAATGGCCACAATTGCAGGGACTGGGCCAAGCTGAAGCCAGGAACCTGGAGATTGTTTGGGGTCTCCCATGGGGGTGCAGGTGCCCAAGCATGTCTCTTGGGTTGCTTTCTCAAGGACATTGGCAGGAAGCTTGATCAGAAGTGAAGTCCCCAATATGAGATGATTATGTGGCACTGTGACCACAGCCCCTATTGCAATACTAACATTTTCTTTTTTTTTCTTTTAAGATTTATTTTTATTGGAAAGGCAGATATACAGAGAGAAACATCTTCTGTCCACTGATCCACTTCCCAAGTGATCGCAGTGGCTGGAGCTGAGCCGATCCGAAGCTAGGAGCCAGGAACCTCCTCCAGGTCTCCCACGAGGATGCAGGCTCTCCAAAGCTTTGGGTCGTCCTCGACTGCTTTCCCAGGCCACAGGCAGGGAGCTGGATAGGAAGCGGGACTGCCGGGATTAGAACCGGAGCCCATATGGGGTCCTGGTGTGTTCAAGGCGAGGATTTTAGCTGCCTGGACACGGCTCCGGGTCCAGTACTAGCATTTTCAAGGAGGTATTCCTGTAGGGTGATTTCTATTGGATGCCATTATTATTGAATGAGAACATCATACCTCACATAATTAATCCTGTAATATTGGAGAATTTGTTTCTAATACATCTACAAGGCATCCTCAGTGCTAGTGAGTAGAAACGTAACTCAAACTATTTGGCACAGTGATGGGCTTCGGAGACGTCCAGTCGAACTTCATCCCCTAAATGCCCTGTGCTCTAGGTCCTCGTCACGCGGGAAGCCCCAAGGATGCTCCTTGGGATGACAAAGAACCGCCGTGGGAGGGGCTGCGGTGCGTGTCAGCCCTCCACGCGCAGGGGGCGCTGTGGAACCCGCCGAGCCCTGCCTGGCGGCGCTCGCTCCGCCCGCCCGCTCGCTGGCCGCCGCGCGGTTTGGGGAAGTGTTTCTAGGGAGACGGCGCGGCCCAGTGCGCCTGCGCGGTGGGCGCCGCCCAGGGCGGGTTGACGGATCCCGGCGCTGGCCGGCGGAGAGCGAGTGTCCGCTGGTCCCGGGGAGCTGTGGGCGCCGGCTCTGCTCGCCCCATGCCGCGTCTGTGAGGCCGGCCGCCGGCCGACGACTCCCGGAGATGGAGCACATCCGGACGACCAAGGTAGCCGCTGGCCGCGTGGGGGCCCGGGGTCCCGGGCGGGCAGGGGCCTGGCCGCAGGCGGAGGGGCCGAGCCGGAGGGGAGGGCGGCTCTCCAGGCTTGGGGTGCGTGTGTGTGCGTGTGTGTGTGTGTGCGTGTGTGTGTGTGCTTTCAGCCGTTCCCGCCTTGAGGGCCGGAGCTCCAGCGCCTTCTCGAACGAGCCTTCCGACGCGGGGGGCTCATCCCCGGGCCCGCCTCGCCCTGCGCTGCCCTGCCCTGCGCTGCCCTGCGCCTTTCGGGTCTGCGCCTGTGAGCCAGCTTCGGCCGCAGCCCTGAGACACGGCCGTGTTAGTTGAGTTTATTAAATCCTCATTTGTGTGTGTGTGTAGAATATGTATTTTCCAGGCCGAAGCAGTAGCCTCTATCATGCCTTTTCTTTGGTTTTGAAGGCAGATTTTTTTTTTTTAAAGATGTGTTCATTTTTATTTGAAAAAGGCACATCCACAGTGAGGAGAAATCAGAAAGATCCTCCGCCCGCTGGTTCACTCCCCACGTGGCCTCCATGACTGGAGCTGTGCCAATCTGAAGCCAGGAGCCCGAGCCCCTTCCGGGTCTCCCACATGGGTGCAGGGTCCCATGGCGATGGGCCGTCCTCTATTGCTTTCCCAGACCACAAGCAGGGAGCCGGATGGGAAGTGGAGCAGCTGGGATATTAATTGAGCATCCATATGGGACCTTGGTACATGCAAGGCGAGGATTTACCCATTATGCTACTGCACTGGACCCCATCATCCGATTTCAAACTGAGAATTTGAAGGAAGTGACCTCAGAATATTACCAGGTTACTACTTGAGCTTTGGGAGGGAGAAGCCATACAGTTTGTTACATAGTGTCTGAGGATGGCCAGGATGACTGCAGCCCTAGCAGGCTTGCAGCAGAGCACACAGTAGGGAGGAGCAAAGCCCCTCGCTGTCAGTGGGTTGCTGCTTGTGTTAGACCTAGTGACGCCAGGGAGCCAAGTGCCTTCACTGTTCGCGGAGAATTGGACGTCTCTGTCTTTCAAGTAGTTGCCACCCTCTTCAGTGGTGCATATGGAGGAAGTAACTTCAGCACTGAGGTCACTGGCTTTTGAAGGTCAATGACAGATCAAGTAAATAACCAACCCAGCCGAGAACGAGAAGCGGGGAGCCAGAGGCAACCCAAGATCAAGGGCTCAAGTTTGTGCCCTGGTTTCAGGATTCCACGTGTTCATTCTACTGTAGCTGCATGCCTGGGGTTTCCTTCCGTGCCGGGTTGGGCCTCCTTCTGCATGTCTCATGTGCCCTCTGCAGTGCATAGCACACCATAGGAAATAACAAACACGGACTGAGTGCGGTCAACTGAAGCACTGCTCCTGGCTGAACGATAAGACAAAACCCTGGTTGGGGCAGCACCCTGGCACAGTAGGCTGAACCTCTGCTTGCGGTGCTGGTATTCCATAGGGGCCCTGGGGTGTGTCCCAGCTGCTCCACTTCCGATCCAGCTCCCTGGAGCGGAGGGTGGCTCAGGTCTTTGGCATCCTGCACATGCGTGGGCTCCTGGCATCTGATCAGCTTGGCTTTGGCCTCTGGGGCCATTTGGACAGTAGAACCAGTGGGTGGAAGATCTCTCTCTCTCTCTCTCTCTGTGACTCTGCCTTGCTAAAAGCCATGAGTCTTTATAAAAAGTGATTGGATGTGATATATGTTCAAGACCCCTTGTTAAGTCATTCCTCCTTCAACTTAGGAGAAGTTTTATGTATTTATTTATAAAAGATTTATTTGTATTAGAAAGGCAGTGTTACAACAGAGAAGGAGAGAGAAAGAGAGGAAAGGAGTAAGGGAGAGATAGAGAGAGAATCTCACACCCGCCCGTCGCTCCTCAGGCGGCCACAGTGGTTGGAGCTGGGCTGTTCCGAAGCCAGGACCAAGGAGCCAGGAGCTTCTTCCCAGTCTCCCACATGAGCGCGGGGGGTCTAAGCACTTGGACTTGGTGAGCACTCTGCTGTTCTCCCAGGCCATTGACAGGGAACTGGATAGGAAGTGGAGCAGCTGGGACTCCGACCAGGGCCCACATGGGCACTGTGGGCAGAGGCTTACTGTGTCACAACCTGGCACTGGCCCCTTTTTTCTTGCTTGTAGAGTGCTAGCCTCTGATTAACCTGGGACGCTCGCCACTGGTGGCTCCCCATCTGGTCTGCCGCTCCCCTTTAAGCAGCAGTCGGCTCTGTGACTGTCCTTGTCTTCGCAGTGGCCCAGGTCGGTGGTTTAGTAAGGGTCTTTGTACTGTATAAAGGATTCAGGGATTTCTGACCAGTTTCCTTTAAAAATTGTCATGTGCACTCCGTTATTATCCAGTGTTGGTTTTTTTTTTTCTTTTAAAGATTTATTTGTTTATTGGAAAGTCAGATACACAGAGAGGAGGAGAGACAGAGAGGAAGGTCTTCCATCTGATGATTCACTCCCCAAGTGACCACAACAGCTGATGCTATGCCAATCCGAAGCCAGGATCCAGGAACTTCTTCTGGGTCTCCCACATGGGTGCAGGGTCCCAAACCTTTGGGCCGTCTTCGACTGCTTTCCCAGGCCACAAGCAGGGAGCTGGATGGGAAGTGGAGCTGCTGGGATTAGAACCGGCGTCCATATGGGATCCCGTCGCATTCAAGGTGAGGCCTTTAGGTGCTAGACCACGCCTCCGGGCCCCAGGGTTGGTTTTCTAGCATGAGGAATAATTCCAAGTGAATGTTGTAGACTACGCGTAAACGGCTATCAGAAGGTACCGCTTACGGGCCAGGTCCTGCACAACACTGGGTAGACAGCAAGTTAGATGTGGACCTCATTATGCATTCTGATGATTGTGTGGACTCTTTCTTTTCTTAAAATTCCTGATCTGTTGGGAAAAGAGCTTATTCTTAAAAGATTGGTCGTTCACTTTTTGTTTCCATTATGCATAACCTTTTCCTGGACTTAATTTGCTGCAAAAATAATTGTGTTTCAAAACCCAGAATGGATCGCTTTAGCTTTTTACGTTTTCAAATTCTGTGCAATTTGGTCAAGAATTGACTGCAATATGATGTGACTCTGTAGTGAAGTGTACGGTTTTCAGACAGTTGTATAGAAAAGAGATAATCCCCGTTTTTTAAGGAACTTATATGTCAGCATTACCAATTATACAATGTTATAATTTTACAGGACTTACACGTTTACAGTAATAGGGTATTGTTGTTAATCTGTGAAATAACTTTGTCGGTTGGGCATTATCTGCACTGGGAGCTGAGGGAGAATTGGCTTAGAACAAAGGTGGGGAAGGCCCACAGAGTCACGTGATCTGGCCCTGCTCTTGCAACCTGCTGGCAGGACTTGAAATTCAGAACATCTAGAACAGACATTTCCAAGCTATCAACTGTGTGGCCTGCAAATGGTGTTGACAGAAGCTTAGAGAGTTTGAGTAACCCTGCCCAGTTAATTCACGCTCAGTAGTCAGGCCTGAACCAATTTTGTCTGACTCCGAAGACCGTGTCTGCTTCCTCCAGTGCCTCTCCAGTTTTAAATGTTTTGGTTAACCTTGTGTTACTGTTGATTTGAAAATACATCCTTATAATGAGTCTAAGATGCTTTTCTTTTACAAACCTTTTCTTGTCATAAATAAACCATATTTATGTTCCGTTACTGTTTTCATATTGTTGAAGGTTTCTAGCTTACTAACCAGAACTTACCAGCTTAAGTAATTTAGCTGATTGTTAACTAAGTGACTCTAGTTTTAAACTTGAGGAACAGGTGTTCGTCCTATTTGATGACAGTGGTTTACTGACTATAGCATCAGGAAGTCTGTCAAGTCCTGGAGTCTTCCACGCCGCTGCCCGTCGCGTGGAGTTCTCTTCTTGCCGTGATGAGATGGTCTTGCCAAGAAGCAGTAAGAGATGTGCAGACAGTTCTTAATGCTGCCCTGCTCCTCAGCTTGCCAGGCTCCAGCACTGTGGCTGACATCATCTCTTGCTGTTGAACGGTATTGCGCTGTCTGTGGATGGGACTTTACAAAGTGGAGAAACATTTCCTGAGCTGGAAATGAAAGGTTGCTTTCTAGGCTTTGTTATAGAGATGGACTGCCTGTTTTATTCTATAGCTTACTCTCGCTTTTTGCCATTAAAAGATAAGACTGTACCTGGACATGGGAAAGACCATGCTTTCTTTTAGGAGGAGGGAAGGAGATACAAAGTTAACAATGGATTGAGACAAATGACATTGTATAAATTGTCTTGAGAACTAGTGCCAGTTCAGTGGTTCCTGAATGCTTTTCCCCAAGTCATGTACTGTTTTGACTGTAGCTAAGATTGCCCCATTTTACACGTGAGGAAACTGAAGTAAGCAGAATTTAACAAGAAACACTGCCCGGCCCCGCGCAGTTAGCTCCACTGAGAAAGAGTGGGGGCCAGAAGTTGGATCCAGGTCTTTGTCAAAGCAGGCTTGCTCTCTTCTGTCTCGAGGAGTAATTATGTAATCAAGATATCTGAATAGATGAGGTAGTCTGCAGAGGAGGGAGTGTTTGAGAGAAACGTGGCTCTTAAGCTTTGTCTAATAGCTGGCTAATTATGAGGCCTACAGCCAGGGAAAAGACCCGATCCGCGGAGGTGGGTTTGGAAGTGGTCAGGGTTAGGTAATCATTGGCGTTTTCTCTTGTGGATGAGTTTGCACAAGGTAGTGTGTGTTGTCTGTAGGGAACCGCAGGAGCGTTGAGCTCTGGTAGCGCTTGCCACGGGGCGGGCAGAGGAGGAGCTGAGAAGAGTAATGTGGCTGAAATTGGAATAGTGAGTCACCGATGGGCGGAGCAGGTTGCCATGTCCTATTTCCCTTCCACACATCCTCCTGTCTTCACTCTGCTGCTCCTTCCTTCCTCTGGCTGCTGTTCTAGCTTCCAGGGACTGGGGCAGCCAACGGGAGGTCTCTCTTTTTCTCTCTTCAAATTAAATAAGCAGGGTCTTTTAATGTGGGATTGGGGGCAACACTTG